TAATATTATGTGTTACATGCCATTTGGTCCGCACTATATATTCGATCCACAAAGATGTAGGAGAAAAACTGCACTCATGGATTCATCTAAAATCTATAGTGCTATTATGCATCATGATTGTTACTTACCATCTGTGTCCCACCTACATTGTGCTAGAAGCTGCACTGAAACTGAATGACATAAGCAGCCATCTTGCAAACAAAAAATATATTTCAATTGCACTTGGAATAAATTAGAAAATGGTGGAAACTGCCATAGGGCAATCCTACACCCTACAAGGCAGATGGCCACCCCTCAGATGTCTAACAATGAGAAATACATTTAACATAGCTGAGCACCAAACCCCACTTCCTTTATAATACAGATGAGATGATTTCCACCTCACACCTTCCATTTTATCTATGAACTGGATCTTTAAAGTCAGTTACAAAATTTAATTCCATTAATGAGGAATTATCTTTTACCTGTAAGATTTTGTACCTAGCTATGGGGATACTCTCATGACAGTCTCATTAATGCCACATCTTTCATACGTATTCAACTACTGTAGTGCCTTCAGATAATATCATGCCAACCACCCAGAGAGTTGTTTCTTTTATATCCTGCCTTTCTTCTATGGAATTACTAATTGGCATACATCATGGTGCTCAGCATCAACTAGACCAAGAGTTGCTTAGCAGGTTGCTGCATCGTATACCTACAGACCACACCTTAAGATGTAGGAATTTTGTATTTGGGGGAAAGATCTGATCCTGGGAACATATAAATGCTTCCTCTCCAATATACAGTCTTGATCATGTGATTTTTAAACGACTTGACTGTCCCACAGTATACTGTTCTTACATGTGCCTGCAATATCAGAGTTGTTATGCAGAGGAAGGCAATGGCAAACCACCTCTGAATGTCTCTTTCTTTGAAAACCCTCATGGGCTCACCATGTCAGCTGTGACTTGATATCACTTTCCACTACCGATGCCAGTGCAGGAATTGCTCTGTCCTGTGTGAATCTTTCCTGTGAAAAATGTTGTAGGGTCCAAGCTCCTACTCTCCTAGGTTACAATTTTCCTCTTTCCACTAAAAAAAAAGTCAAATAAAGTCAAACAGCAGCACAAGTCTTCACCTCAGTCCACCTGTGTGGGTGTGGATGCTAGTATGCCACTGTACTTTGAAAGTTTGGACATGGGGCACCACTGAGACCAAATTTGTGTAGGAACTCTCATAAAGCATCTTTGAAAAATCATGTCTGAACCTCCCAATGGTCTCATTTCTTAAAAAAAAAACTTACCATATTTTAAAATACATTTTCAAAAGGCAGAAGGAAAGCTAGAAACTGGATTCATAGATCAATAACAGGCATCTGTTTCTTTTAATGTTTTGATTTGGCAAGCTTTGCCGGCTATTATTTTGTGCTGATAAATGACCAAGAGCAGATTGTGCTGTTCTGACTCATTCTATGCAGATGTAAAGAATTCATTAGCAACTACCAGAAGCACATTCCAGTTGCATTTGACTGGGTTTTTTTTTACTTTTCTACCAGGATTAACGAGAGTGAGTATCTGTAAATTGTTTTGGTTACTTCTGGCTTCAGATACTAAATGAGAAGATCCCAAATGGGAGAAGTCTTTGGTCTGCTTCACTATTGTCTGTATGCCTGTAGTAAATAAAGAATCCATACAGTGAGAAATATACCTCTGTAATTAAACAAAGTTAAACATACATAATGAAGTGGGGGAAAGTCTTTATTAAAATGCCTTTGAGATATGTAGCTCCCCTTTTACCCTGGCCACACTCTGGGTTGCACCCTCCACCAGTGTTCCCTCTAAGCTGAGTTAGCATGAACGAGCTCACAGTTCTTTAGCCTCTGGCTCACACAGTTTGGTCTTCGCTCAGGAAGGATGTGGCTCCAGAGCAAACTGATTCATGTAGTAGCCAAACTGCTCGCTCACAGCTTGAATGCCAGTCACTCATAAAGTGGAATTTTTGCTCACAAGACACCACAGCTTAGAGGGAACATTGCCCTCCACACCACTGCTTTGCAGAAACTCTGTTTTATGCAAATATCCCAGTAGGGCACTGACTCGTGTCATAGCAAACCGAAGATGATGATACCTTGCACTTCTTTCACTGTGTTGCAAACATTATTTAAAGTTTGCTTATTCTATATGCATCACCTGAGCCTTTATTGTCTCAAGGACAATTAGCTGTGATACCTTTGCAAAATGCACTGAGGACTCAGTGCACGTGGTGACCTCCGGAGATCCCAGGATTCTGTCAACATCCATCATGGTAATTGGGTAAAAAGGCATACCATAGGCCTATATTACAGGCAGCACTCAGATCAGAGCGTATTTGTGTTATTTGATCAGCAAAAAAAGTCCTCACCCATGCTGGTGGCTAAAATTTTGAGAGGGCCATATTAATGAGACATTGATGTACATCATAAACCAGTTATTGACTCATGGCACCTTCTTTGTTGCTCCATTTGGATCTATCTGCAGCTTTTGATATAGTAGATCATGCTATCCATGACAGCATGGGATTAAAACGTGGGTTTGTCAGATTTGAGTCCAACATTCTAACTACTACATCATTTTGCTCCCTTAGTTTGCTGTCCAAGAACAAAACATTTCAATGCCACAATCCTGCGGAGACCTCCAAAGATGCAATGTTTCACGGTTCCATTCAGATTAGAAATAAGGGCAGCCAAGTTGGAACACCACTAATATAAACTGATCCTTGCTATAGAACAGACTGTGATGATATTAGTTTAGGAAGTAATAAACATACAGGCTGTCCAGGGACAACACTGAGAGATAAAATGAAAAAAGATTGATACTACTACATATGTTCTGGCTCCCTCTTGCATGTATGCTGATGAAGCAACTCCACAACATGAGGTGCAGTCTTTTGGCTTAGCTGTAAAGAAATATGAAACAGAGTTGTGTGTGTGTGTGGGGGGTTCAGCCCCATATGTTAGTTGCGGTGTGATCTGGTCCTCACAGCCAACCACCCAGACAACAACTGACATTCAGGACAGGCTAAAGTATCGACACTATATAGCTTCTGGAATTCTTGCTCCTTCCACCCATATTGGGAATGGCACATTAAGAATCTGTGTTCAGAAACAAATCAATATTGCTCTATTTATGTTAGATTTATAGGCTCAGGGTGGATTTATATATGAATGTTCATACAGATCCATATAATGTCTATAGTCTCATAAGGAGCTCAATACTATTCTTAAACTTTTTGCTTGATTTTTGTCTTTAAATACCTCAGTATTTTCTTTTACCATTATTGAAAGAGAAAATACCCAGGTATTTAAAAACATGCTCAAGAATGAACTCTTAAACATATGCATGGAAGATTCCCCTGAAATCACTTAATTCCAAGTAAATGGATTTGATTTAGCAGTTTACTTTGAAGAATTTGAAGTACAGAGTACATATCCTAAATATAGTCCTCTTAGGTACTTGAAAACCCATACATAAATTTTCATACATGTATCTTGCATAATATATTCTGCATTCAGAATTCTGGTTTACAAATAATTTAGAATTTTTTCTGGCCAGGACAGAATGGTAAAAGGGAATGGAGGAAGAAAATGACATTATATTTAGGGATATGTGGGCCAGTAAAATAAGAGAGGTTGATCTGAGTCTATATCTTGACCCTAGACATAACTTAAATTTTCTCCAAAGCATGAGGACCGGAAACCGTTGTATTTTAAAATACAGCCTAGGGTATAAAATTTAATACCACATACTAGAATCTGTATTTATACACTGAATGCACAGACAAGCATACCACTATGCCAAACTTTAAACAAATTTGCTTGCAGAAACTACATGCACAGTCTCCCATGCATAAAACTGTCAACCACGCCTTTTTTTCTGTCCTGCAATCTGTCCTTCGCTTTTCAACAAACTTTCCCCCTTCTTACAATACCATAACATAGGGAAATTAATGATTTCCACTGCAGTGAAATGCCAAAGGAGTAAATGAAAAACACTGTGAATCCTAGATTAGGGTTAATTCGTTGGGTTGTATATCATACAGGGAATCATAAAACTGATTCTCATGTATGAATCTAATCTGTTGTATGATATTCTTGTGAAGAACAGTGATAAAAAAAACAAGAGCTGGTACCAAAAATGGCAACTCTGTGCTGAGTTCTCCCTCACACCCCATTTATAATATCTGGTTTAACTTACTCTCATATCCAGGGCTGGCTCACTCACTAGGCGAACTAGGCGATCGCCTAGAGCGGGCTGGCCCTTAGGGGCACCAAACTGCACCTGGCCCCATACTCTGGGAGTTTCTTGATTATTTGTGTTTTTCATTCTTTCTAAAATGCATTTATTTTTGAAAAATGGTGGGCGCACGGGGGGGGGGGGGGGGGAGCAGAAGGGATCCTCGCCTAGGGTGCAAAATAAGCTGGGGCCGGCCCTGCTCATATCCTTATATTGTTGGCTGCTATGGGGATGTGTATGTATGGAGGGGATTCACATGATTATGCTGTCAGCAGACTGAGTAAGGTATATTATGACAATGCAAAGAAGGAAGGGAAATTTCCCACAGGGCTGCCATGCTCAACTGAAGGCCTGTGTCCTTTTCAAACATGTAGTTCCATCCATAGCTGCTATGTTTTGGTTTCTTAAAACTAGAAAAAGACAAAGAAAGTAATACCATGTGATGCCTGGCATGGTTCTTACCATCTGTGCTAACCTACAGTGCCAGCTGAACCCTCTTGCAATCTCAGTGTATCCTTGTGTGTTACCAGCATATTCACAGCAATACTCTAATGATACAGTAAAACGTGGAGTCCATTAGTAAGCTAATTTATATGCAAAACAAAGGAAAAACCATTGGTCATTCTCATTTTTACCAGACATAATGCAAACATGGTTCAGAGTATTGATTTTTATCATTCACTGGAGTGCAACACTCTACGAGTCTATGATTGTCAAATGAGATTCAACTCAAACATTCTTAGGGAGAGTAAAGTTATTTTATTAAATCATGCACATCACGTGTGTTAGTGCAAATAGTTCAATCTGTACTCCAGAAATTCTATTGGTTTTTATATCTTTACAAAATAGATTTAAAACAATTATTTACTTTAAAAAATGTAATTCTGAATTTAAGCATTTTCAGAATAATATTTGCAATAACCTATATACAAGAGGTACTGTGTACCACTGGCATGTGTGTGTTTTGTGGATAGGTGGCAGCTTCCTGCAACTGAAAATAATGAACAAAAATGATATTTTCTAAGAGTCTGTGGTCTAACATTCCCTTAAATCTAGTGATCTTCCCATTAACAAATCCCAAATAGCTTTAGACAGAACCATTAAAGGAAAATGACCCTCAAAACCTCCAAGGCGAATCATAAACTAAAAAACCCTATTTAAATATTCAACTAGATCTGTGGATTGCCATTAAACCCTCTAAACCACTGGAAGTTTTGCTGAGAAAACCTTCCTATGAATTACCCACCAGCTGAAACATTTCAATTATCATTAGCAATTCTTTTTACATCAGTATAGACCTTAATGAACAGAGCTGTTTTGCTGTGCAAGCCAACACTTGATTCAGGTTTTAATTAGTGCTGCCCCCATTCTGGAGTCAACATTTACAGAGGGTATTAATGTTAAGGCCATTTGAATTGTGATGTAAAGCTTCTAATTGTTGACAGCACATTCTTTCAGCTTAAGTTGTTGCATAGAGGACCAATTAGGTTATTTTAACCTTCCAGAAAGCTTACCCATTTTGGATTTTTTTTTCTCCATTTTCCCTTCCCCTAAAAACAGAAGCACTCGAGCACTTCGCATAATGAAGTTATGCCAATGAAAGTACAAGTAAAGAGACAAACATCATTTTCCCAGTTCAGTTTTGATAGTAAGTGACTGGAAAAAAAAATCATTTCTATAATGTGATATGTGAAAAATATGTTGAGTCTTATAGTGTCTATATACATGAGATTTAATAAATTACATTCAAACTAAAAGTTGGATCACTGCACTATGTCCATCAGAAAAATTTTGCTCCCAGAAAACCCTTAATTCACTCAGGCACACACATGCACACACCTGCACACAAGAACAGTCTAGATGGATGCTTCCCATTCCGTTGCTTCTAGAGCTCTTTAAGGCTGGCAATGAATTATACTCATTCCCAAGTCATCAATACAATAGGACCTTTACTGAAGAAAAATATTTGTTTCCGTCCAAAGACTTGGAAAAAGAAATTGTTCCCCATAGCTCAGTGACTCACAGCAAGTAAAAAAAAATGGTATGTTAATGTACAAATAAAGTCAAACTGAAAGGCACTGAGCACACTGCATCTGCTTCCAAGTATTTAAAGGATATTTGGCATGGGTGACCCAATCAGAAAAAAATGCACTGCTTTCAATCTGGCAATCAGATTCTAAAGTAAAACACCCCACACACCTAACCATTATAAATAATTTGGTACCAAGAAGCCTACTTTAGGCCACCATAACAGTATTTAGAACTCCAACATACTATTTTAAAGAATTACATGAAATTGTAAGCAACGATATTGCTCACGATAGAATGAAGTAATAATTTTATTCCCTCTTTATAGACAGAAACGTTTTGTACAGCTTAAAGCAAACGACCCTACTGCTGTTCGGAAGCCAAACTCTGTGGTATTAAGAGGTAAAAAGGAAGAGAATGAAATCTGGTTTTCCCCCAGTGTGTGAATGATGCCAGCTTCTAAAGAGCAGACGGTGTATGGATTCAACAACAGTTCTCATGGAGAAGCTCTGGTTAGGCCTGGGTACAGCACCATGGCTGTCACCGCTACCAAAGCTGCCATCACAGGCATCCAAGGCCATTGTCTCTGTGTGGAGAAAAAGACAAGAATCAACATCTCATTTGTTGCAGTGGACACTAATTACTTAACCCCTTTGGTTCTTGTCGTCCCTAGAATATTTCCTATGTGCTCTTGGTTTTTTAGAAATTTTGACTCTGGGCACCAAGGGGGTTAAGCTCATCTAGGTGAACGAATTCCAATGGACACAAGTCTCCGTAATGCATCTTCATTAGGGCTGCCTTTCATAGCTGCAGAATTTCAGTCTCCTTTTGACAAAAAAAAACTTATGCTCAAGAATCTCTTGTATCTTTGATTCTGCTAACAGGATTTATTGTTTGTGCCAAAGTATAGCTCAGATGCATGCCATGCCGAATTTGGAACTGTTCTTCCACATCCTCCAGTACCTTAGTTCAATGGAGTATACCTGCTTACTTGATCGAGTTTGACAATGCATGATAAGCTTTTCTGGCCTAGGTTGAATCCTGATCTGATATACAGTAATGTTAACCTTGCACGTAGTCCTCATCCCACCTTTTCACAATTCTGAAGTATATAATTTCAGACAGAGGGTCAGAATCACACAGAACGCAGTTTTGCCTGGTACTGCAAACTTGAAGCTGGAGATGCAAAACCCACCACCTGTTCTCTTCCAACACGGTAGTTCAAAATAAAAGCATTAATATTCAGAGAGGAATTTCTGAATTAGTTGAGGGTAAAAAGGAAATAAAGGGCCAAATTCACATATCCAAGCTCTTCATATTAAGTTTAATTAAGCAGTTAGGTTGTCTTTCAGGCCCTCATTCTGAAGCATCATATGACCCATTTTGCTAAAGATAAACTTTTGTTAGAAAAGGCACAGTTAAACAATTATGTTACAATAGGACACTGTTAGCACTAGCACAAGGAAAACAGACAGATGTTAAATGATTAGTTGTTTGCTTGGCTTGCCAATATTACAAATAATGGCTCATTACATGAAAGGTTCGTGTCAGGTAAATAAATACCTGCTTTTCACCATGCACTATTTTACAAAAATGGCACAAACAGGTGAGAGGGACGAACATACATGGACTGAATAGTGCTTATAGTACCTTTCTCTACCACAATGGGCTGTAACACCAAAACAGGAAAGCCAGGATTAGGCCGATGAATACGGCTGGGACGGGTGGTAATATGGAAGGCTAAAGGGAAGGGAAGGGATATTAAAATCATTTTGTGCTATTAAAAAATCAACCAGATAAAGATGATTTAGATGGGGGAGACTTCGAAGAGAGTTTTGTTTCATTTGAAACATTAAAGACATCTAACACAACACAGCTAATCTGGTATACAAAGTTAGTACACCACTGTACTAAGGAAACACGGAAATTGAAAATAAAGCAAGGAACTCTTCCTTAGGATGCTCTCACTTGTCATATGCAGCTTAGTATTTGGGGCAAAACAAGGCTTAAACTCATTTTGCGTTTCAGAAACATTCCTCTGATGACAGAAGCAATAATGTACAATATGCACAACTAACTGTGAAGGTTTTATCATCCAAATATCCTGAATCTGTTAAATAACAAATTATTTCATTAATCTTTAACCCTTTGACAACACTCTTTGTTACAAAAACTTGGCAGTATCCAACCATTCTGTGCATGGAATGTGGAGTTTTTCTGAATTCCTCTCCATTCCTTCAGCCCCTTTCGAACCCCAGGGAAGATCACTCCTAGAGTCAAGGACCATGTATAGAGGAATAGCTGAATGGATTGGTGGGACTGGAGTGATGAAACACAAAGAGCTGAAATCATTCCTTCTACAGCTTCAAAGAAGAAGGGTTCAATTTCACTCCTTTGTTCCTCTTCACTCAAGCCCACAGAACCTCATGGCTGTTCCTCTGCACAGAACCTGTGACCCCAGGAATGATTGGAAGGGGCCGCACAAATGGAGGGGAATGCAGGAAAACATCCATGCATGGGATGGTTGGCTACTGTCTACTTTCACCTTTTCCACTTATCACTTAAACTTGTGACAGCACATAACCTCTATAGCCAAGAGAATTCTGAATCAGTACTTCAAGGATACCTCTTTGCAAACCAAAGTTTAAGTTGTGTAGAACATTTTTCTGAAGACAAAAAAGCAGCCTTTGTGTGCTTTATGCCCTAGTTATATCAGTGGTACTGCCACAGAGCATGTTCACATCCATTTTTCCACACAGTTGTTATTCTGTGTCTGCTGCTAGAATTTAGCACCTCTTTGTCATCCGTGCACCTGAAACACATTTCAGACAAACTACTCAAGATGACTTGGAGCTGTAGTCATGAGGAAAACTGTCCTAGACACATCCTTGTCTATCATCCAGCAGTGCTTGATGTTTACATTCTTTTCTATGAGAACAATACTTGGTTAGTGCAATGGGATGTTACCCCTCAAGAAAAAGAATGGAAATAACAGTCTGTGCTAAAGGTGTAGGTGAGACATGCAGTGTACTGTGGGAGTATCAGCACAGCATAAATGAGCATTTGGCTCTGTGAATGTCCAAATCAGAGGGAAAAACAGAACTGGGATTCAAGATGAGAACCTTATAATTTCAACTCTTTGCCCTCAATGATGATGCTTATGATTTAGCAGGGATTAGTCCTCATTACCTCCTGTGCTAGATCCTGCTGACATAACACATGGGAAAATAATCCCATGCTGTTAATATAGGCTCATCTGCTCCCACATAGCATCCTCACATGAATAATAACACCAGTAACACTAAATGGAAGTTTACATTGATAAACACACAGAAACGCAATATCCAGCTGCCCAGAATCACAGATACAAGAATGACTGGGGGGAAAAGATGCCAGCAAAACAAATACCAACAAACTTGTGTCAACGATTTTTTTTAACACAACATACGTAATATGTGGAAACAAAATACTTTATGAACCATGCTAATTCTGCACTGGCTTTAACTGTGCAGAAATGATGGCTCACGTCTCTCAAAAATTTACAGTGCTAAATTTGTAAGCTCTTGATCAAGAGCATACTGGTCAAAATGTACTGAGAATTTAAAGATTTGTATGCACTAGAAATTTAACAATCTGGTAACTGCCTTTTCACTCTAAAGGAATCAAATGACAGTTCAGCACAATACTTCCATCAACTGATAATAAACCTTTTGCAGAAAAAATCAGAACATTAAGAAAGCTTAAAAACTAAAACAAACAAACAAACAAACAAACCCAGAGACAATTCACATGACCCTTTGAGGCCATGGTAACTGCCATGTCCGTGTACATACCACACCTAGGATAGCCTGGCTTTTAAAACACTTTATAATTTTAGTTTGTTATGAATGAATGTAGAACACTGATCTGGGTTTAGTGAAGTACTTTGTGGCTAGTTTGCATATTATTCGGTTAGCTTCATGATGGTAAGTAGAAATCAAAATTAAATAAAGTGCATTGTTTTAATGGACTCAAAAGGAAATATGCCTTTGATCCCAGCTATGTATGAATATCTGAAGATACTGGATTGGATCCAGCAGAGTGTTTCCTCAAGTGCAAAGACTTCCTCCTATGGAACATGACTTGCACCCACCCACCCCCATCATCGCAAAATACCCTCCTCCCTGAAATCCTGCTCCTAGGATAGCAGGGACCTCCAGGAACAGGGGCTTGGGGGAGGGGGATATTTCACACTGCTGGTTTTTCGTTGTTTTTTTTTTCTTCCAAACAAAAGTCATGCTCCATGGGTGTTAGTCCATGTCCCCATGTAAACGCTGGATCTAACTCACTGAATATTGGATTGAATCCATGGTCAGACACACCTTTAGTTTTTAATTCCTCGTTCTATTAGTTTTGAAATAATATATTCCTCTTTGCAGGCCAAATTTCTTTTATATAAAAAGGCTAAAATAAAAACATGTGCCTGTTATGAGCTTTAAACTGAAGCATGACTTTCTCCTGACCACACCTAGCATACAGAACTGGTACCTAATTCTATCTGTTATTCATACTACATGGGCAGAGTTATCTGCATTGCCTTGACATACATGGCTATCAATAGACGAAGAAAACGAAACAGCATACACATTATTTCTTTCCTTACCCTTACCAATCAAATAGAAGTTATTCACCAAGGATCTGCATTCAAACCAAATTAACTGTCATAAAGAACAACCCACCCTCCTCACGATGTTTTCCCAAATAAAATTTTTTTACAGGAAAATTCTTTCAAGACAACTACTGGGGAGTCTGTTACCGTACCTTTACCTCTTAACTGAAAAGACGCAGAAGGCCTTCTTTTCAGCTACTGCTATATTTAGAACTTTTGTAACAGGAAGCGTATTAAAAACAAGAGGAGGAGGAGGAAGGAGGAGGAAGAGGAGGAGATTGGATTTATACCCCACCCTTCACTACCCAAAGGAGTCTCTTAACAGTTTATAATCTGCTTTTCCTTCCCCTCCCCACAACAGACACCCTGTGAGGTAGGTGGGGCTGAGAGAGCTCTGAGAGAACTACTCTGAATGAACTTGCAACTGACCCAAGGTCACACCAGCAGCTGCATGTGGAGGAGTGGGGAATCAAAGCCAGTTCTCCCAGATTAGAGTCCACGCTCCTAACCACTACACCAAACTGGTGCCGTTCAGATCTAATTTTTTCAGTAAAGTAAAACCTTGGGAACTAGTTACTTTATTTTCAGTTTTTACTGATCTGATATCTTCTCTTTACAAAAAATGTTTTCAACTGGTGGTAAAAAACTGTTTTATGTCTTGTCTCTGTCTCCTTTACATCTCCGTAGAGAAATCTATATCACATGTCATTTCTAATCAACTAGTGATTAAGGGATGTTGAAGAAACTAAGCTACCGATTCAAACCATTTGAATATTATTACTTTGGAGAAAAGTTTTTCTGCAATAAAGAGTGGCAAAATTACTACCAAACTGTTCTGGATACTCCCTGAAATAGGATGTTACTTTGAATGTTGAGACCCACTTGAACTGAATTGGGAATGAAATTTTACATGGTTGAATGCAAAATCCATATGGTTTCTGTGAGGAAAATCCATGAACATAAGACTTAATCTGCATATATTATACATTCCAGTAGAATATTTTCACATTTATTCCTCCATGAGTATTCACCTATAGGTGAACAGTTTTATTGTAATTATCTTGTCTGGGAGTGCATATGCAATGTACTGAAATATGTTCCAAGGAAAAAGCAGTGGATAAGAACACCTAGTGGAATTTGTTTGTGCTGTTGGTACTTTAGCTGTATTTCTATGGGTATTATGTTCCACGGTGCTTTTTCCTTTATGTTTGAATTGCCTTGAATTGAATTGAATTATTATAGTGGAAAACAATATATACATAAAATAAATACTTCTGTATTTAGAAAAGCTTTTTTAAAATCTGGTTTTATGGGGCCTATTTCACTGTATATACTCAGCTGCAAAGCAGGATGCAGCAATTACAAAATTGCTCTAACGTTATAACTCAGAGTTTTCAGACATCACAGGGACTAAAAGCTGTTATTGTTGACTGAATCACGCTTGGACATTTTCAAAAATAAAATACAAAAAATATATAATTCTGCCTAATGAGGAGGACACTGGCAGATCCATTCTGAAGCAAGATGTCTGCATAATTATATGTAGTGAAATGTCACTGGCCAGAGTCAGATATTTCAAAGGAGCTCAAGCCCAGAAATACATGGACCACATGAGTGCTTTGTGGATTCATGTAGCCTACACAATGTTACAAAATGTTCTCCTGTATATCTAACAAACATATGACCTCATAACAAAATGAAATAGCCAAAAACTGAAGCACACTTTTTACCAACTTACATGGTTTCCTTTTTCTTGTAGCAGCTTCAGGCTGTCTTTACACTGTTTGAGTTCATCTGTGATTGATTGCTTTTCCTGCTCAGTGATCTCAAACTTCAGCTTCAGCTCTGTGAGTATGGTCTGTGTTTTTTCATACTGAAGACAAAGAAAAAACATTTCTGCAGACCCATTTAAACTAAAGAGAAGAAGATAAAGTAACTTTGGGCTATATTTTTAAGACTGTCAGAAAGTAGATAACACAGGCTTTTAATATTGATGTTTAAGGGCAACAACTTAGTTTATGGTACAGTGTAACCCAGAAAATGCTTGAATGCAAGTTGCTCTCCTCAACACTAAAGCACCTTATTTACCAGTTATGAATAAGATTTAGTAATTAATGTTATCTTTATTTATTGTGGTGATTTACTTAAAATAAATGAAATGTCAAGGCCCATAAGAACCTCTCAAGATAGAACCAGACTATTTGTCCCTTGCTCCCCCCCCCCCATCTAGGGATGCCAACTCTGGCTTGTAAAGCCTTGGAGATTTGGGAAAGGTGCCATAGAATCTGCCCTCAAAAGCCAGCATTTCCTTTGGGGAACTTATCTCTGTAGTCTGGAAAGCAATTGTAATTGCAGGAGAATTCCAGAGGCCTTACCTGAAGGTTAGTAACCTTGTACAGGGGGAATGCAATGATATCACTTCATATGATTTCAGTTATTAGAAGGAGAAAAAGAGAAGACATTGCTCATGGGTATGCTGTAAAATGTAGTTCTGACTTCATTTCTCTATAGGCTTGCCAGACCCCCCTAGTTTGGCAGGGGTCACCCGCTTTTGGGGGGGTTCTGCCCACCGTCGGCCAATTGGCCAGTGGAGAAGCCCCACCCCCAAGCCCCAACACCCACAGCCACCCCTCTCCCTTGAGAGAGAGGAGGGAGGGTGGTGGCTGCGGGCCCTTTAAGCAAGCAACCAGCAGGAAAGGGCCCTGTGTGCCCAATCTCCGAGCAGAGATTGGGCACATGAGGCCCTCTGGCTCCCTGCTCTTAAAGGGGCTCCCTTTAACTGCAGGCAGCCAGCAGGAAAGGGCCCCGTGCACCCGATCTCCAAGGGGCATTGTTGCTCGATGATCAGGAGGGCTGGGCCCCCCAGCTGCGGCTCGCAGCTGGTGGGACCATCGTTGCGGGGCAGGACTTGGAGCCCAAACATCTCCAACGTGACATCATCACATTGGGGACACCCCACCCCCTACAGGAACGCTCCCCAAAGTCCCCCTCTGGGGACGAAGATGGACCTCGCAACCCTATTTCTCTAAGAGAATTAAACACTGAATGTATTCCATTTATAATACCTGCATTAAACTACTTGTTCTTTTCTAGCAGATGACTACAGGGGCTCTCTTGGATATATTTGGGGGAAGAAAGGTCAGCTGTAACTGTTTTAATAAAACATTACGAATTGTCTGCATAAACCTTTTTCTCGCATTTAATGTTGTAGTTTACATGTTACAGAAATCATTCCATTTATCCAGAGGGGAGAATTCTTTTAAAGTAAAAACAAGAGATGCTTACAAAATCCTCCACTTCCCAATTTCTCCTTGGATTTTTGGGTTTCATAGTACTGCTAATATTTACTGGAATGAAACTCAGTATCATAATTATTTTATCTTTTACATGGCAGAATTTATCTCTTACACGGCAGAAAAGCAGTTTTGCTGTTCTCAGACATACCCCCTGCCATAAAAGATACTGCATCACAAAACCAAGAGAGAAATTTTTCAGAATTAACCCCTTGTATTCCAGAATTTTCTTTGAGGGGGAGAAAACAAGCTAGTTTTGAAGGTACTTTTATTTCATTAATTCATTTTTTTTGTTTTATGAGAACATTTACTAAAATGCTTCTATTCTGCCTTTCTCGGGTCTCTATCCTACCTTTCTCAAGGTAGCTTACAATTATGTTCCTTTGCTAGGGTTGCCAGGCAGGCAACCAGCAGGAGGGTTGTGGGGGGGGGGGGGGAAAGCATCCAAATGGCCCTTGGTGGAAACAGTTCTAGAGAAAGAGTCCTTGCTAGCCAATTAAAACAGGCTTGGATTCAGTGTTTTACTCCAAAGCACAGGCATCTATGAGCTAAATGGGAAGGCTAAAAGGAGGGATTCTGCCTCGTGCTTTGCCTATGAACTTCCATAAACATCTGGCCAGCAGTTGCTGGAAACAGCATGCTGAACTCTGTTGACTTGGGTGGCTCTAGCTGGGCACCTCCTCTTCGTAACCACAGTCTTCATCCTGCAATGCACATTACCCAAGTAGTCAGCACTTTGGCATAGGCCACTCATAACAGTGCAAAACATTCTGGCTTGCAGATGGCAAAGGCTAGTCATTCCAGAAGAAAGGCCAATATGGGACTCTTGCACATATTGGGGGGGGGGGTCCCCTTCTGTTTTAAAACGTCAACATGGAAGCAGAAGAAGTGGCCCATGCAGATGTATCCCAAAAGAAACTGCACCAAGGGCTGGCATAGTGTTGTGCTCAAGAGAACAAATTGTTAGCTGGATAGTCACAGTTCAAATCCCAATTCAGCCACAAACTCAATAGGATGCCTTAAGGCAAGGCACTCTCTCTCAAACACCTCCCCATCAATTTGTACAATGCAGTAATTATGCTGAAACTGCATTGTAGGGGTCAGGGTTACTGAGGTAATGTGTGTGAAGTCCTGTGAGAAGTCTGGAAAGGAACTATATACAATCCTCAGGCCCTCCTGCTATATAAAGTGTTAACAAGGCTCACTGCCCACCGACGCAGGCTTCTTACCTGATTTCATGGAGTTTGACAGTCTCATTGATGATCACAACAAGAATGAGAGAGAGCAAACCCAGCAACCAGGAGGCCATGGGGATGTCATCCATTCTGTAGGCCACAGGAGACTCAAGGTTCACCCAGAGCTTCAGGTCCAGGAGGGTCTGGATGACCTGGCCCAGCAACCTGCCACACAGAAAGCAAGACCAGGGCTTTGGAATGGCTTGGCCCCTCCTCACAGGAAGGCATCCGAGGCTTCTGTCCCAGCACCCGTCACTCTCACTAGGCATCCTCTTTGCATCAGCAACCCAAGTGGACTATGCCAAAGGGTGAATGAATTGCCCAAGGCAGTGAGCATGTAGGCACAAATGGGCAGGATCCCCAAGATGACAATTCCCTGGTTGCAAAATCAGGAACATGAGAGTTCAATGTTTAGAGGACAAGGCAAGGCCAGAGAGGACAAGGCAAGCTTTGAGGCTGTACAAAAAGGGGCCTATCAGAAGCCAGAAGAAGACAGATAAGGCAGTGCTAAAGAATGACTGGAGACTGAGAGGCCTGGGGGGAAACTGGACAGTGGGAGAAAAAAGAATGGAAGGTGAGGGGGGGGGGGGGGCCTGGTATGGAGCAAGGAAGTGGATTGGCAAGAATGAAGAGATCCTGTACCAGCTCTTCTGAAGAACCAGAAGACAATACTTACACAACCACCACTGTTAGGGTCCACCAGATGTTAGTGAAAGGGCTTTTCTTCCACAGTGGTTTGGTCCGATGGACATGGGTGACAGATATAAACACTGGGAAGGAAAAAAAAGTTATTCTGCTTTTATCTGCAGCCTTACCGTAGACCTACAAGGGGCTTTTTATGCTATTGTGTAGAGAGAATGGTGACCTGTGGATCTCAGTACCCAAGACAACAGATCTCAAGGTTGCCCTGCTATACTTTCAGCTCAAAAGCCCAGAACACAGGCTATGCCACTGCTGCTCAATCGTAATGGCCTCTTGCCCAAACCACAGAAGTCACACCAATTCAAATTCTCAACAAGAAATAGTCTTGTTTTCTATGCACTTAACCTTGAAAACACTATTGGGGTAAATTAGGTACCCAATTGTACTTTTTGGATAGAATTCAGAAAGAAGTGGCTCTAAAACCTTTTCCTCTTAGGACATTGTCCACCGTACATTTTTCCCAAAGCACATTCAGTTACCACTTGTAGTTTACTTTCTGTTTAAAAAAACACCTGGATAGGAACCCCCCTCCACTACCTATGCATTTTTGCCATTAAGAGGTTTTTAACTAAGAAAACAGTGATTGAGGAAACTGTGTTAAGGGTTCTGGACAGATACAGCCCGTCATGACAACCACAAACAAAACAAACAAAAACTTTGTAGCATTTCTTTACCCCCCCCCCCCCCCCCGGATACCTGGAGAATTTGGTTTGGGATGGAAATATACTCCAAGTGCAATATGTGCCACTTTTCCAGAGGACAGACTAAGTATTAAATTAATGGGTTTGTTTGGTCTTTATCTCCCTGGAACAGGTCCGTGATTACTGCACTAGCAAACAGTTAAAGGAAGCATGTTGTTTTACAGCTGCCCTATGGAATTGAATTTACAAGGCAATTAACAGTCATTAGTGAATGTAACAGCAGTACTCTTTTATATCAATGGAGTTCAAACAAGAAGACTTTCTAGTCAGCTCTGCCAATAGAACATAGCCAGAAGGTAACCAATCAATAACCAGAAGGACACAAGAATGGGACTCAACGAGTGGTAGAAGATAAGCAGAGGGTAACACCTGAAGTCATGGGATCTCCTTCATTGCAAGAGGAGACAGGATTAGTCACTGAGTTGAGTCCAACCCATTAAGAAGGCCTGGAAAACAGAATGTGGTAGTTCCCACGACTGGCATATTTTACAAGACTGCCAAGTATGCTGGACAGGTAAACCAACGTGTCACTTTGGTCATTTTCCCATGTGGCAGGCTTTGCCTGTCAAAAATATCTGTGCGAGGGCCAAATTTCATTTGGTACTGGAGCTCCATGAATGCCAGTCTAGATAGCTACTTTGGCCTTTAGAAAAGCAATCACTAGTTGTGCTTTTGTACACAAAGAGATCATAGTGTGAGGGAAGGGGGGTTAACTCATCACCTCACAGTGCCATTGTTCTGACTGTAAATGCCCTTCTCCCCATCCCACCGCTGCTTTAAGACTCTTTAGAGGAAAAAGAGACAGGTACCCATACTGTGCTGCACAAAAGGGAGCTTCTAGTCAGGGGATAGCCAAACTGTGGCCTTGATCCATATGGGAGGCTTCTTGTGACTAATTTCTGGGGCAAATCAGATGTCTGGAGCTCCAATCTTGAGCACATTGAGTTCAGCCCCACAAATGTACAGGGCCCAGTCCTAACCATCTATGTGTTTTATATACACTAGTCATCAGTCTCTGGTTATAGATATATATAATCAGTATTTAATTTTCATCCCACCCTTTCACCAGGAGTTCAGTGTGGCATACATGGTTCACCTTCTTCTATTTTATGCTCATAATAACCCTGTGAGGTAGGTTAGGCTGAGAAAGAACTGGCCCAATCTCAACCAGTGAGCTTCCAGGATGAGTGGGAATCTGAACCTGATTCTCTCTAGGCTTAGTCAAGCATCAGACGGCTTTATCACACCATCTCCTGTGAGGAGTTCTTGCCCCAAACAGTAAGCAATAAAGAAATGAAATCACTTACCAGTATGTAAGACAATCATTCCAGCAGTGAGTTTCTGAGACAGAAGAAGAATGTTGGAAAATGACCCAAACCAATCAGGAGCTCCTTCCACATGACTGGAAGAATTTAAAAAAAAAAAAGTACAGGGCATTCCACTAGGCAAGTTAACAAAAAATGACGAGCCCCATCTGGACAGGGAACATCAAAGGAACTACTGAGCTATTAGCAAGCTCTTGTAGGCTCTGGAATTCTGGAAAAGAGCTTTCTTGTGGTGATGAAAAAGAACCTGGAGGCTTGTTCAATCCACTACCATTTATTTCTTTAGAATACTTATATCCTGTCTTTCAGCCTCATCAGGGCTAACAAGGTAATTATGAGGGAAATAGGCAACTCTGTGGCAGTCCTGCACAGATCCTTTACTGTACAATCCCCACACACACACACACAACTGGGAGTGGAGAGCGGTGGCCATAAGCCGTCAGTGACAGTAGATGCCCACAACAGCTACACAAATCCGTTGCAGCAATGGACAAAGAGGGTGGGGAAATGACAGAAGCAGGGTAACAAAGTCTGTATCATGCCAGGGTTTGGGACCTGTATCACAGTTAAGTGCATTGCCAGATGTTAGTAAAAAGGATAACTTCTAATGAAAAAGTTGGAAATTTCAGGTTTTATTTTTTTTAAAGGAAAAAAGTCTGTAGTCCTTATAGCTAAAGAAAAACATAGTCTCTTCTAAAAGGTTAGAAACATAAGAGAAGCCAATGTTGGATCAGGCCAACACTCTGTCACACAATGGCAAAAAATACCAGGTGCCATCATGAGGTCCCATCAGTGGGGCCAGGACACTAGAAGCCCTCCCACTGTTGCCCCCCCCCCAAGCACCAAGAATACAGAGCATACATTGCCCCAGCCTGAGAGTTCCTATCTATACCTTGTGGCTAATAGCCACTGATGGACATCTGCTCCATATATTTATCCAATTCCCTTTTGAAGCTGTCCATGCTTGTAGCCGCCGCCACCACCTCCCGTGGTACTGAATTCCATGTGTTAATCACTCTTTGGGTGAAGAAATACTTCCTTTTATCTGTTCTAACCTGACTGCTCAGCAATTTCATTGAGTGCCCACGAGTTCTTGTATTGTGAGAAAGGGAGAAAACTACTTCTTTCTCGACCTGTTCTATCCCATGTAAAATCTTGTAAACCTTTATCATGTCACCCCTCAGTCGTTGTTTCTCCAAGCTAAAGAGCCCTAAGCGCTTTAACCTTTCCTCATAGGAAAAGTGTTCCAACCCTTTTATCATTCTAGTTGCCCTTTTCTGCACTTTTTCCAATGCTATAATATCCTTTCTGAGGTGTGGTGACCAGAACTGCACACAGTATTCCAAATGAGGTCGCACCATTAATTTATATGGGGCATTATGATATTGGCTGATTTGTTCTCAGTTCCCTTCCTAATAATCCCCAGCATAGCGTTGACCTTTTTTATTGCAGTCACACACTGTTTCAATATTTTCAGTGAGTTATCTACTATGACTCCAAGATCTCTCTCTTGGTCAGTCTCCGCCAGTTCTTTAGATCTTCTTTAGAGATATCAGCCGAACTTTTTTCACTCCCCCAGGTGTGTTTTAATGGCAGCTACAACCTATTTTTAACCGCAATGAATGTATTTTATTACATGCTACCTTGAATATTTATTTTTAAATATAAAGGTGGGTGGATGAATCTTCACATAAATTTTAAGTGGGAGTAGAAAAAGCTTTCACACATGCACACCACAAAATGGCATTCCGTAACTACCCAAACTTCTACCTCAATACTTGGGGAACGGGGGGGATATTGGAATAAGAAAAAAGTCTACAAATGTTAAAATTCAAATGTAAAACCTCATTACAATGGGGGGGGGATATTTTGAAGTATGAAGATTACTTCCACTTGGAAGAAGGGGAGACCTGAGATAGCGTAAGAAGACCTGGGGCTAAGCCTCTGCTCCTCTTTGTCTGGGGCCTGCATGAACTGTGCTAGAGGAACCAGCACCAGCCCAGGACAACCTTCTAACTCATCACCTGCTTCAGGTGCATCAATGGCCTGTTATGTATCTCAGTTTAAATTGAACATTTTGTGCATTTTTGTTATGCAAGTAATTTCTAAGTACTGGAGAAAATCAGGGTAAAAATAACTAATAAAGCATGAATGGCTTACATATTTAAATCACAACACCTAGGAACTCTGGCACAGAAGCAAACTTTGACTGTTTCATACCTGCTCAGCATGATCGAGGTGCAGCCTGTGACGTTGAAGGCAGAGGAGTTGAAGTTTGCACAGTAGTCTTGCAAAGTATAGCCAAAGCAAGCCAAACAAGAGCAGATGGTAAGGCTGAATTTCAGTAGAAAGCAGAGTAAGAAGTAGTGCTGAGTCTAGGAAGATTACCAAGAATATCACAGTTACTTACAGAATGGGAGGGAATTACTTTGCCCCCGCAGCACTTGCCCAAGGCCCTCACACTCAACAGTTCTAGCGACGATGGCCTGTGTACCAGCAGCACTATAAAACACCAGAAGTAGCCTCTCAGGCCTGACCTATAGGCCCAAACTAGAGGTGATTAGATAAATATGTGGCTCCTGCTGACCCACATCTCTAACCCCAATGTTCTCAGGTTATCAGTCTGGAATCCTCATATCAGTTGTGAGGGGGAAACAGCTTCTGCCTGCATTCCTCTCTTCTTCTCACAACATAAGCTATTCCACCCGGGAAAGTACCTGAGAGCAGCAAAGATGTCAGGGATGCCCTTTTCACCTCAGGCACACCCTCCCTCCCTCCTTGACATGCAGCCCAGTTTAAGGGATGGCGTGTATTTTCCCTTTGTCCGTCTTCCCCGTCAGACAGAACTTGCACTTTTTAAAAAAGCCTTTCCCAATTGACAGAGAAAGCAGTCCACAATGCATCTGGGCAGAGTGAGAAGGAAGAAAGCCCACTCGCCCACCTTCTGCTGTTATAGGTGCTGCTGCTGAACAAGAGAGAGTCCCAAGTGGTAGAGCAATTGGGGAACAGCAGCAACGAAAACACAGTCCCTTTCCAGTCACACAACACACTCTCTCCGTGAGACTCTTGCTTGAGACTTGCTGGCCACTCCAAGAACTCTACCACCACCACCCCATGTTAGTTGCCTCACTTGAGCAAGCCTGAATTATTTCTTTTAAAAAGGGCTGGAAGGGGGGGGGGGGATGATGCAGAAGCCCTTGATTCTGGGACAAGAATCTGAGAATTCTTGTGCATCTGGCAACACTGAATGTCTAGCAAAAGATCACATGTGAAACGTCAGTCCAAATTAGATACAATGGGGGCTGTCTAGCTGCCACTGACTCATGTCTCCAAGCTGCCTCCTCCAGTAACACGTTGTAAAATGTGATGCCTGAGTGAAGCCATTGTGCTCTGAGGGCTCCCACTTCCTTCAAGTGACTGCGTATGAAATGCAGCAGGAAAAATGAGAATGATGGCATCACGTCATGCATCCCCTTTTACTAGATGTTACCAGGGAGATGCAGGTGAGGACAGAGGTCAGTGGCATCCATGCACTGCCCTTATAATCTAATTTGGACTTCTGCTGCATGGTTTTTGTCGTTGTTGTTCAGTCGCATAGTCAAGTCCGACTCTTCGCGACCCCAAGGATCACATCACACCGGGCCCTCCTGTTTTCAGTTAAATATATGGACTAATCACTAGCTGTGTAAATAATAGGGTTCTTGTTTTTCTAAAGGAGCACATCCTGAAGAATTGTTGGGTGTTACAAGTTAAAACACTTCAGTATTTTCAGGGTTAATGATGTTTGTTAAGTCACATGTTTGTTTGTAACCAATCTGTTTAGACAATAGGAAGCCCGGGAATTTTCTCCCTGATCTAGGGATTTGATTGGGACTAAAGTGTCAAGGTGTATTACCATTTTATGGCTTCTCTTCCCGTTCTTTGTTCTGACTAGAGAAGGAGACGCCATTCGGCTCTTCCCCGTTTTACTTTTTAGCTGCAAGGATGTAGGCATATTAGCTCTTTGTTATTTTATATCCTGTGTACCTTTTTCCCATGTTAGGTTTATAGTAAACTTTTATATTTTTAATACACACCATGGACTCAGTCTCTTAATACTCTGCTGACTTACTTTAAAAGAATCCCAACAAGAATCTATACCTCTCCCTACACAGCAATTATAACCAAGCTCAGCTTGTCTATGCTGTGTGAAAGCAACCTGCTAACTTACACAGAGCTCCCTCTAAGAGAGACGTGAAGGAAAGTCCTACCTCAATTTGCTGAAAAGAGAACACCTACAACTTCATATTTTTCCAGCCAAGAGCTGAGCTGACTCTCTTGTCACAAAGCAGGAGGTGGCAGACCACAACTGGCCCAGAGGCTAAAGACTCAAAACCAGCAAGCTAAATTTTTGCCTGTTAAAGAAAATGCACATGAGCTCTTGACACTGCCCCATGATGCTATCGTAATAACGGGTCCCCTGCTTTTGCAGCTGGCAAGAAAATAACTTGAACGCCCTTGTGGCACTATTTTCACACATGTGCGGGCGCACACGCACACACACAGAGCTAACCAATCCAACGGCTTACCTTTTTAGGAATGGAGGTCAGATTTTTCCCAGTTGCCACAGACATGATGGAACTGTGAGGGGGCTTGCCCAGAAGGGAAACACTTGAAGAAATGAAGCTAAAGTTAGCCTGCAAAGCTGTAATTCTATAACATAATTATAAAAGCTGACTGGCTGCCTGGATTGTCAAGTTCTAGAAATTACCTCAACCCCCATCTGGGAGACAAACCTTCCCACACAATTCCTTCCTGTTAAGTGCTCCACCTTGCCCTCTTCTCCACACTCACCAGGTTCAATTCCTGGCACCTCCAGAGAAAAGAATGAGGTAGTAGGTGATGTGAAAGGCCTCCCACCTGAGCGGCTGGAGAGCCGCTGCCAGTCGGAGTAGACAGACAGCACTGACCTTGATAGGCCAATGGGCTGACTCAGTATAACACAGCTTCTCGTACTGATACGGGCAAGCAAGCTTAACACAGTTACGTTCCTTGGCAACAAAACTGAATTGGGATTAGGTTGGAGACTTTGGAACTTCCTAGCCTAGCAGTGTCATCATGACAGAGTTACACCCTCCTAAGCCCAATGACCTCAATGGATTTAAAAGGGTGTAACTCTGTTTAGGATTGGACTGTAAGAGGCCCATCTTGTCTCTCTTACTTTTGGTCTCCGGGATATCCACAAAAGCTGTTCTATTCCAAACAGCATTTCTTGATAGTTGTGTTGACTCCCTGACATGGTGAATTATTTTTCTCTTGCTCATTCAACTGCTGCTTTTTCTTGTTTTTATGATTTGTCTAATGATTGATTATAGTTGTGGGCTTTGCTAGTTGCTACATCTGGGGGATTTTTGTATTGTTCTATTTTAAAAAAATTTTTACTTGGGAGGCATCTTCAAAGTGGTTTTAATAGAAAAGCAGAAAAAAAGTCTCAGCAATACTCTTGTGTGCTAATTTAATATAATGTTAAACCTGGAGTACTTCATCATATTGCCTCATCATATTGCCTCATCATATTGCCACCTACTTTTTATCCATTAGATTGTACATACAGGGAAAGAAAGAGAGAAGTACAGTGGTGCAAGATCAGTTTTAGTTAAGAAAATAGATTATTTTAAAAAATCAAGCCTGAAATTCTAGGTAGAAGAATATCTAGGAAACACAGGGTGGCAATTAAAAGGACAATAAGGAACAAATGAAGGCGAGCCAAGATACAACCTTGGAAACCAACAGATGGCTAGAATTTGTTTGCAGTGAAGAGCTTCCAATACTTGCAAGCATTAGGCCCCCTATAACTACACCAATTCTGCATGCCTGTCAAGTTCTCCTTACTCCCAACAGATCAGTCCTTGCAAAAATACATAGAATACTACACTTAAGCATTAAGCCAAGCTCTCCTGCAAACGAAAGCAGTTCAGTCTATGTCCTAGTCATCCACTGAATCTAATAGGAGAACATACATTATTTATTTGTATGCTTGTTTTATTGGGCTTCTAGCCCACCCTCCCCCAAGCAGCAGGCTCAGGGCGGGTTACAACCAGTGTTCCCGTCTAAGCTGAGTTAGTGTGAACTAGCTCAATTTTTTTAGCCTCTGGCTCACACATTTTTGTCTTAGCGCAGGAAAGATGGCTCCAGAGCAAACTAATTTAAGCAGTAGCCAAATCGCTCGCTCACAACTTCTGGACAGTTCAAGCATCTACGGACAGCCCCTGAGTGGAACATGCTGATGGATCACTGTAATGCCAGTAGCTCACAAAGTAGAATTTTTGCTCACAAGACTCCACAGCTTAGAGGGAGCATACAACGTTCTTAAAAACATACAGAGCTTTAAAAATAAAAGACAGCCATAAAACAGATACAGTACTATATATAAAATACTATATAAGAACCTCAAGGGGCTCCAGCAAGACAATTTGCTGAATTGAATGAAGTTCCCATTGCTATAAAGCAGTGCTCGGTAACATTTTAGTAGACCAATAATCTCAGTCATGGTGCCCAAGAGCTCCATAGCACCTGCCCATGTATTTCTTGGCGCACACTTGCTTCTGCCCCAAAGGAAAGAGCCAGTCTTGGCTTTACTCCACCTCATTGGAGCAGGGGATGCTTCAGAAGAGCCCAGGAGGGATTTTCCTTTCTTCAGGAAGCATTCCTTCGGATACCCTTGCCTCCATCATAGGAGGATACTTGGCCTGGAACCGCCTAACACTCTGTGGAACCTCCTACCATGTGGTCATTGGATCTAAACCCCTAAAGCAGCCCTTTTGCTAAGACACCCATTACCCGATGACAAATTTCCAAAAGTGCCCACAGGCTCAACAAGGCTAGAGAACCCTGTAGTATGGAGACTGTCCCAAAATTCTTAAAAATCATTGCAGTCATGTACTTCAGAATCACAGTCAACGAGTAATATGTGTAGGCTTTAGTATGATAAGTCTCACATGGAGAGCTGCTAGAAATAATTCCTCAGGCAGCAACTCCACAGAAAGTTCATAACGTGCCACTTCCACACGGGAATCAGCTTCCTTATATGGGCAGTCTCAAGGGTACAAACTCTAGTCCTCACAGTAAGGCTGATCCTCATGGTCTCCCGTGCATCACGGCCTCCACTCAAAGCGGCTACGGCAAGAAAATGCTTCCGGCAGCCTCCTGCATAGTGGCTGTGTGACATGAAAACCAGGTCTTCGTTTCCCTTCTGGACAGTTCAAGCATCTATGTACAGCCCCTGAGTGGAACATGCTAATGGGTCACTGGAAGAAGCTTGCTCACCTTAACAGTGGGTAGCAGAAGCAGGAGAGCCACAGGATATCCGTAGTGCTGAGAATGGGGGGCAGTTGCACCAGGCAAGAGAGGAACTGAGCAGACACAGCAAAAGGCATGGTTAGCGGCAGGACCAGAAGACCCGCCCCCCCTTCCTGCACTGCTCCCTGCCTCCACCCCACCCTACCTGCTACTGCCCTGATGATGAGCTTGTGTTTTCTACATCTCCAGACCCAGCTTTTTAAAAAAAAACTTCTGGAAAAACAGTCATGTCATGATGTCCTCTCAGAACAAAAAAAAAAAAAATGAGTACACTTTGCTTTTCAGACCCAATTTATTCTGAAAGGCAGAAACTGGGGACTACAGATTAGAAGAGAATTCATTTCTGCCTCTAACTAGGATAAACCTACCACAACACAATGGTGACAAGTACTGCTGACATGGGCGTGGGGGGCGGGGGTGGGGGGGGAGAGAATCTTGGACTTTCCTTTCTCCCAGACTCAGCTGCCCTCTCCACTTCCTGAAGCTAATCAGAGCAACTCACCTGGATGATGACCAGAGCCAGCTGACACTGCAGGAGGAAGAGGAAGCACTTGCGGATGCCGTAGGTTACATGCCGGGCCTGGAAGGAAGGACATGTGATGGGGATGGAATGCAAAAGGAGAGCCCATGGGAAGCCCTTGCACCTATAGCGCATAGACATTTCTGCAGGGACACATGTACGATTTGGGCAATCACATCTGATTTGCTGAGGGCCAGCTGGTATTTTACTGATCTGTCTAAAAGTATCAGGGTTTGTCAATAGTTATATAAATTCAGGAATTTACCCACATCCCTAGCAAGCTGAGAAGCTCCATGACTCCCCAGGGGACTGTAGCTTATTAAAGGCCCTTTTCATACCAAACATGGTGCTGCCTTGAAAAGGGTTAACTGCAGGACACTCAACAGCTCTGCTCTGGGAATGCCAATCAACTCACCAGGGCGGAGTGGGAGCACTCTATCTAGGGAAGGCAGCCGGGAATCAGGGTAGAAACTTTGTCCCAGCTTCTTAGCAGGGGGAGGGGAGCCCTTAATCGATTGAGTGGCTCAGCACCTACGAACAAGAAGAGCAAAGAGCCCAGCAAACCCAGAAACTCACATACAGCAGCGGAACAAGTGGAGCAGGCAAGGCCTAGGAAGGGCCCAAGAGGGTAGGCTGCTAGACGCACCTCCGGACCTCCTTGAAAGATTACTACTCTGCACTTTCTCAAGGCAGCACCGGAAAAATCCACTCCAGAAGCCCACTGGATTCTGCTTGTCCCCTTGCAACCCTCTTGACAGGAACACTTAGCCGGACCATAAAAGATATTATAACTTTTACAGTCTGGAAAAGGGACAGCTGTTCTCCCCATCTGTCTCACAGCAGCAGCATACACACAGAGCACTACAGCACATGGTTCCCAGGGGACTCACTAGAGTGCTTTCCAAACCAAGCTCCACTTGGGATAAGGGGTTTCAGAAGGTTTGAAACAAGGATGGGCAGCGACATCTCTAAGCAGCCTCGTGAGAAAGATCAGCAGGCATTCAGAGACGGTGGTGGCTGTAGAAACTGAATCAAGAGTCTCTTCTCCTGAGTCGACTTCCATCCCTTATTGCCAGCTTTCAGGCCAGACTTGATTGGCTGCTCTCACTGCAAGGCGGCTAGTAGTCTCAGGTGGATGACACAGCCATTCTAGCATCACCCCACGGAAAGAGGACTCACCTGCTCTATGAGCCGGATGATCCCAATTGTTTCTTCAGGACAAATGGACAGGGAGCAAGACAAGCTGTTCAACTGGCCAGACAGCTGAAGAGGCGTCAGCTCATCAGAAACATGGGTCATGTTTGTGCTGGTGGCATAGCCGAAAGTCTCCCAGGAGCAGCGGGAAGGATAAAGAGGATCCAGGGCTACGCTGTATAGACAACAGCACATGGGTTAGAGGGAAGTATACCTTAAAGGTCAATAAGCCAGGATGTGCGGCTGGGTACACAAAATACAAAGGTATTCAAAACACTAAACATGGTTGAGGACTTTTGTGGTCTGCAGGCCGGTGTTGGTCCATAGGATTACTTCCCAACTGTCCACAACAAGGTAATCAGATCCATATTCTGCTCCTATGTGGAATATTTTCCCTTCCATCAGCAGCAACAGCAAATAGAGATCTACCCTTTCAGGACCGAGGCATGCAGTTTGACCCTAAGCATTTTACTCCTCTGCATCCAACAGAAGGTAATGGGATCGATGACGGCCAGAAGACTGAAGAAGAATCCAAACAAGAGTGAGTTGATGTTGGTCAATGGAGAAGCTGCTCAGGGACTGCAACGTCAGCCTGTCCGGGAGGGAGTTGTACTCCCCCGTGAAGGGGCAGCTCCATAGCTGGAGGGTGCTACAGGATCTAGGCCTACAGCTGGAGCTCAGTTTCCTCTGTGCCATATAGCACTTTTTATCAGCTCCAGCTGTTTTGCCAGTCGTCATTAGACCTCCACAGCTCTGGGCACACGATTTGAAAAGAAGCACCAGGAGGAAAGGGAGGGGCAGTCAGTTGGCAAGTGGCTGCTTCCCCAGTGGTGCACTAGGCAGTAAGCTGTCCTTGCGGTAACCAGATGCTGGAGAGCAGGAGACACCTAGGCAAGGCCTCAGAACTGGGAAGGGAAGCTGGGAGTCCCGGCCCTCTTAGTGAGCAATTCCAACAAAGGCCAGGTGGTGGCAGCAGTTGAAACAAGAAGGGAGAGAAAAGCCCCTCCAGGTGTTGGGAAAGCCAGGTGGGGGCAGGTGCCAGGCAGAGACCTCAGACGGCCACTGGTACCCAGACACCTCAGACAACACAGCAGAATAGGGCTTGCAGATTAGAGCAAGGCTATTTCACCACAAAAGGAATTATGTAAGACGACTGCATCCAACTGTCTTCACTGCCTTTTATCTCAACCAATTCCTGCAATCAATCTGACCTGCTTTTCTCGCTGTGCTTCTCAGCACTTTTCCATACTCTGCCTTTGCTAGAAGAAAGAGCATAAATATTTATATCCTGGTTTCAGCTTGGAAGGGGGGGGGCTCTTGTGCCATCGCAGTGATTTATATTCAAGGCCACCCCATAGCAAGTCCAAAGGCTGATCCCGATATTGTGAAAAGAGCTGCACTTTATGCATTTTTTTCCAAACACCACTTTCTTCATGCTTGTTAGCAGTGTTCCCTCTATGCTGAGTTAGTGTGAGCTAGCTCACAGCTTTTTAGCCTCTGGCTCACACATTTTTGTCTTAGGCTCAGGAAGGATGACTCCAGAGCAAACCTATTTATGCGGTAGCCAAATCCCTCGCTCACAACTTTAATGCCAGTAGCTCAGAAAGTAGAATTTTTGCTCACAAGACTCCACGGCTTAGAGGGAGCATTGCTTGTTAATGATCTTTATCTCAATGTGAAGGGTGCATCCAAGGGAAAACAGGAGGGATCCAGTCTAGAGAGGGCTTTTTTCATATGTATGCAATGGGAGTGAAGTACAAGGAATTATAAAGACAGGAGAGATAATTGCCTGCCTACAGTAAATCTGTGGACTGGGGACCTTAGAATTCTATCAAAACTTCAACACGTGGCATATAGACAACAGAAGAAGAAGAAGAAGAAGAAGAGATTGGATTTATACCCCGCCCTTCACTTGGAGTCTCAGAGCGGCTTACAAACTCCTTTCCCTTCCCCTCCCCACAACAGACACCCTGCGAGGTGAGTGGGGCTAAGAGAACTCTGACACAAACTGCTCTTTTTCAAGGACAGCTGTGCCAGAGCTTGTGACTGACCCAAGGTCACATCAGCAGGTGCAAGTGGAGGAGTGGGGAATCAAACCTGATTCTCCCAGATTAGAGTCCGCGCACTTAACCACTACACCAAACTGGCTCTCTTTTTTGTGTATTGTGTATGGACTTATTTTTTAGATATTTGGAAACCCTTTATAGAAACTTATGTGTAGATCTGCCACCACTGTTGTTATATTTTTGTCTCTACTTCATGTATACTTTTTTCCTTTTCCTTTTTAGTTCTATTTAGTTGCTGGATTCTGAGGGTCCCCCCCCCCCTCGTTCTTTTTGGGAAAAAGGGGAAAAACCAAACAAAGACAGTCTGGGGCCACGATCCTGTGGCCCTTGCAGGCCTTACCTGATGTCACTCTGAAGGAAGAGGCAGTTGTTGCGCAGATTGGCTGAGCTGCCCAGGCAGCAGGTGACCTCCCCATATTCTTGCATGATCTTGATCATTTCACACATGGCTGCAAGAGACCAAGAGAAGGAGGAGTTACCCGACTGACCCTCTCTAGTTTTCCTCCTTCAGGGACTCTCCATCCAAAAGCCAAGCATCTCTGTGCAGAAAAAACATGAGAACCAACAAAGTTCTGACCTCTTACTTACTTTCTGGGGTGCAATCTGTAAACAGAGGAACAAGCAAAGGCACATTATCGATGTTCTGCAGGTGGGGCCTCACCTGATGGATTCCCCGTGGGAGTTTGGCCTGAAGTGAAAGAAGAGTAATTAAAACAGTAACATAGACATAGATTAGGACCAAGGAGGGTAACAAGGCCCTGATCCTATAGATGGCAGCAGACAGAATGACTGGGCTGAGCCACTGTGGCTGACATGAGTGTCTTATCTTAGAAGACGACTCAAAGTGACCCTTGCTGGAACATACTGCTTTGCAATTAGCCACTGACAATGCATCTGAACAAATATTGTCTCCCCATTCTAGGTGTCAGATCTGAGCACTCCTTATTCTAGGAGCTGCAGATGAAAGCGAAGTCAGATTAAGGCTGTAATGCTTTTTAAAAACCAAATACAATGGGCTTCCGGTCGAGCTAAGATGGAGGACTGACGCACTTTCACTTTTGTGCGAAGTGGGCGACGGCCGCTTTCGACAGTTTGGGCAGTTATTAGCCCAACACATCGCTCCCCAGCGAGGGGGGGGGGACAAGCAGGCAGCAGCGCCTAAGAGGGAGTGTGAGATTGGCGTGATTCCGCTTCGGAAGAAGCGGAAACAGGCTTTGAACTCCTCCCGCGAAGAAGGCAAGTGCCGAGCAACTCTCCAGTATAAGTGCCGAGCAACTCTACAATGTATAATACTAACACTGACACATTCTCTACACAAAATCGTCCATGGGATGAGCTGCAACCACTACAAAAGGAAACATTCATCCAGGAAGATAACAGGGTCAAATTGCAATGAAGGGTCAAGCTACTTTATTCCTTTTTCTAAGGCAAATAAAGGAGGTCAGCTCGGAAGCAAGAAACTGAATGCTTAAAGACCGTTTTCTGTATGAAGTGTCCTGCCAGTTAAGATCAACAGAGACCTTACTAGGTGTGTTCTCGCTTTCATGGACTAGGCAGGTGTGACCCAGACAGGGCCTTTTCAGTAGTGGCTCCAAATGTATGGAATTTCATCCACACAGAAGCTCACCAGGCACCAAAACTGCAGCAGTTTAAGCACTTTTAAATTTCCCACTCCTTTTTGGAACCCCCCACTAGCAGCATTCTTACTTTTTCTGCCATCATTATTTCGCCAACATGAGGGTTTTTAGGTTTTCACTTTGCTACTCCTGATTCCTATCCTAATTTTAATCTGATGTTGTTTTAACTGGTGTTATCTTCTATCTTAGGGTTTCTTGCCATTTTTATAACCTGTCATATTTATTATTTATTATGTCATAAACTGCCTTGTAGCTATTAAGTGGAATCTTCTTAGGAAGCATCAGGAATAGCCACAGCTGGGATAACTGACAAGATGAGCTGTTGCTGAAGCCCTTCACACATTTTATTTTCATAAGTGAAATCCTCTGTGATTTGGGGAGTTCTGTTTCTAGAACTGGCAGCTAATAGTTGAGGTCAAGACACCGCCTCAAAAAAAAAAACCCTCTTTCCTTACAGAATACAGGACTGCTGAGAGCCACCCATGGAATCCATGGGAAAGGATTTCTACTGCGTGAAGTGAGGGAAGGAACTCACCAATCCTTACTTGAATGAAAAGGTTCACTATGAATCTGTAGTTGCATACCTTAACCTTCCGCTAAACTAGGAAACACAGCACTCTCTCTCGCTGAAGGAGAGCTAGGATTTCAAGTCAAACAAAGGTTTAAAACATATACTAATACTTGCCTACAGAAGCTTCTAGCTACTACAGAACCCCCAAGATCTCAGGCAGTGTACCAGGTAAGAGCTGAGGCAGGCGAGCATCCGAAACCTCCCAGCAGAACCTCGGCCTCCTCTCCCTCCCTCAGAAGCCCTAGCAGGAAAGGACCTTGGTCTGCTTGCACAAATTCAGCATATACTACTGTCCATCTCGGCAATTTGTAGAGAAGTAAACTACACATTGCCATGAGGGGGTCTGTCCATTCCTCCTGTGTTCTAGATTTTATTGTTTTTGATGCAAGCAGCTAAAGCTGCAAAGTTGGTTACCAGAAGACACTTTAACTGCCCTGGCCTCACAATGCAATGCCAATCTCACCCTATTGCAATCTTCCAGGAAGCTGGGGATGTCACTGTCTGTCGGCTGAAAGCTAATAAAGTCCAAGTGTCCTTCCTCCTCCATCAGCAGAAGCCCCTCCGCATCATCTCGAGAGACTGGTGAAGGAGGAGAGAAAAAAACACCACGTGAAAAGTGAACATAAAGCTCACCTATACAGCTAAGTCCCAAGCCATAAAAAACACCAGCCCCAAAGCACCCACATAGTGCTCTTACGTGGCACTGCAGCAGCCTGGAAAGATTTTATCTGTAGGCAGATTACACTCAGTTAGCTCCTAAAATAAAGGCGTTTGATGACTCATTTATCCAGAGTCAGAAAACATCAGACTTGCTGAAGTTTTTGCATCTGTTCTGTCTCCTTTCTTCAAAAGGCACAGCAACGTGGCAAAGTTTTAAGTTAAGATGACCTTGCCTCAGCAAGGGACAACCCTGCATGCAGAGGGGAAAAGAGGACAGCAAACCGGAAGAAGGCTGTGCTTCTATATACCACGAGGGACTGCCTTATTGCTGCCTATGCCTTTAACAGCTGTAAGGACAGAGTTCAAGGCAACAGAGGCAAGGTCTCCCCCATCTGTGTACCCCTATGCTGGGAAAGAGCTGCACCAGCTGGAACTCAGCCTGTCATGAAAAAAAGCACAACACCTGTGCCAGGAAATAAAAGGTGATAATCCCACATACTCACAAACCAGTTGGGCACACAAGGGGAGGAGTACAAATGCAAACAGGCAACTGAATCACAACTGTACTGAACAAGCCAGTATTGCCTCTTTGTTGTTATAGCGGCTATCTTGAAGCCACTGAACTAGGCCAGCCGGAGTTGTGCTTCAGGGCCAAAGGAAAATTGCCCAAGGTACAACATTAAGATTAGCAAAACAGCCCAGCTCCAGTAAGGCATTTATTGCAAAGAAACTCCAAAAAGTTGCAACTAACCAGGTCTGCCAACGGCATCTCAACTCCCTTTGGGACCTACCTGGACCAGTGTTCCCTCTAAGCTGAGTTATTGTGAGCTAGCTCAGTTTTTAGCCTCCGACTCACACATTTTTGTCTCAGCGCAGGAAGGATGGCTCCAGAGCAAACTAATTCATGCAGGAGCCAAATTGCTTGCTCATAACTTTAACGCCAGTAGCTCACAAAGTAGAATTTTTGCTCACAAGACTCCAACAGCTTAGAGGGAACACTGACCTGGACTACAGCTGCCAGTCACAAAGAGCACTCTCCCCCTCATTTTAAATAAGGGTATAAGCATTAGAAGTAGCCTTGTCATTCAATGCCCCCAAACACCCTATCAAGATAACATCCATTATCTATACTCAAGTCAAGGCATCAAATGTTCATTAGCAGCTCTCTCTGCTCCACCTTAAACAGATACCTTTATCATCACCATCCTTGTCTTGCATTGTTGTAGTGAGAAATTGGATTGTCCACATGGGAGAGCAATCCTAAAACGTATCCCTGCTCTGACATCTTTCTTACTATGCACCAAATACATTTGCTCCCAGCAGGCCCCTTGCCAGTTCCCCCCCCCCCCCAGGGCCGTCCTCTTACCTTGATGCAGGTCCTCACGCAAGGAGCCCGCATGGCTTGGGCTGGAAGGAGGGACTTCACAACCATCTCCGTTGGGTGTTAGGGATACATGACAGTTCCAGCCAGTCTCAAGTCCCATTTTTTCAGCAAACACCTATGGGAGAGAGAAGCTATAAGGCTTTACAGAAAAACCAAAATGCTGGGATCCTTATCTAGAGTCCTCCTCAACAACACATGCTACAAGCAAACCACATACATCTCCCATCATTTTCAAAGTGGCACTTGTGCAGAAATTTGGCATGATCAACTCAGTTTCTTTTGGTTGAAATACATGGACTTTGGGAGGCTGGTACTGTGGTGGTAAAGCCAGAAATGATGGCTTGCAGAGGGAACGTGAGGAAAAGACTCAAGCAGACCAAAGCAAAGATAAACAGAGTCACCCAAACAAACATGAAAGTCGTCACAGGTTCACCCCTTGTCCGGGGTCGGACTTACCTGCCTCAGCACCGCAGGTCCGGGTACAAGAGAAGGGAAAGGACGGCACGCCACTGCCATGGGGCCCTGCACCTGGCCGTCTGGGGACCTGTGGGAATGCTGCCATGGAGAGTCATGGCAATGGGGGCAGAGTCTTCCAGGCAGTGGCACTGCCTCCCTGGCCATGGCTCTGGGCGCGGGCCAAGCCCGACCGCAACAACATGATCCCCGCCACAGGGAAGAAATGGAGGAACATGAGGACCAGTAAGAAACACTGACCATGCTGACCAGATAGAGTCAAAAGGGGGCGGGACACGGGATTTAAAGGAACTAACGCCTGGCCCAATGAGAGGGGAGCTGGGAATGATGGGCAGTCAGTGGGGCCACTGGGGAGCAGGGAAGGAGGGGAAGAAGGGAAGTCCAAGACATAAAAGGAGGCCAGAACACTGGGGTCAAGGAGGAGGAGAACAGGGGAGTGCGACAAGCAAATTCAGAGAGAGAGACTTGCGACTCCAGGAAGTGCCTGTAGCCGACTGGCCAAGGACTTCCACTGGTGCGCTGAGACCTCAATGGCCCCTTTCTCGGCTTCTGAGACCACGGCAGGGGAGACCCCGTGGCACAAAGGGGGCACCTGACAACCCCCTTGTCCATGAGGTTTTCACAGCTATTGGCTACAGGTTTCCAATTTTGCTTTGTAAACCAGAGGACCAGAATTTTTTTATCTCCTTAATTTACACTTGTGCAAGTTTCATGGATACTTTGGCTGTGAAGCTGGAATGCTTTAGAAAGAAAATATTTAGCATGAATAGGCCAGGCTTTTTCACACATACACATTTGGACTACTTTGTTAGACTTCCTAATATAGCAATTGGGGCAATATAATTACTAACACTTTGATCTCACAGTAAGTTTCTGCTAACAGAAGGGAGAAAGTGATGGTCACCAATTCTCCCTTCCCATCAGACCAGAGTCAGCACTCATGGTGTTCCAGGGGATCCCCTGTCCCTGCCCCCCCCCCAACAGCATTTAAGGCTGAAGTGCAACACAAGGAAATCCTGTTCTCCTATTTATCTATTTAAAACATTTTATGCCACCTTTCCACCTGATCAGCATCCCCAAGCTAGCGAACATGAAAACAATAAAATGCTTCAACAGTTAATATATATATATATTATAAAATAATTCAATGAAAAGACATAAACAAATAATTCAATGAAAAGACATAAAGATATGACACCAGAAGCAGGGAGGAGGGCGATAACCATTATTGGGAGGTATGCCAAACAAAAGTCATCACCTGCTGACAGAAAACGAGAGAGAGAGGGAGGGAGGGAGGGAGGGAGAGAGGGAGAGAGGGAGAGAGGGAGAGAAAGGGAAGGAGAGGGAGAGGGAGAGAAAGGGAGGGAGAGAGAGGGAGAGAGGGAGGGAGAGGGAGAGATGAATCTCCCTGGGGAGGGAGTTCCAAAGTGCTGGTGCCAGGGGTAACTGGCAGGGACAACCAAAACAGGGCATCTAGAGATGACCAGAGCTAACAAGTAGGTTCTTATGGGAGAAAGTGGTCCTTACAGTATGTTGGTCACAAGCTAGAAATACTATGGGATTCAAGCCAGCAAAATGAGTTCAAATAGGAAAACACTGTACATGAATTGATCCTCCCCAAGTATATTTATCTACAGAAATATATATACCCTTCTTTTCAGTTTTATCAAATACTCAAGGAGGCTAAAACAATTTTTAAAAAGTTTAAAAAACAAAGCACTGCAGTGTATAAAATAGTAAGCCAACTCTACAAAGGCACTTGCTCAGACTGATCCATGGATACACATTCTAAAATTCACATGAAACTAGGAATAACCCTGCAACTTGCATTAGAACTGGCCCAAAGACAAGACAGATAATTCTACCCTTCTACCCTTCACTTGGTCACTGCAGGAGCAACACACATAGAAAAGTAGCACAAACAAAGGGTCAGCCTACCTTGCTCTTGAGTTCATCTTCCAGGGAGAAGTAGACAAACCGAATGCAGGCATTCACCAGTCCCTCAATGAGGCGAACAACATCCAACCTGGCCTGATACTGAGATGAGACCATTCCCATGAAGATCTGACCACTCAAAGCCTGAATGCAGTCCTCCTTCTCCATCACTTCCCCGATCCCTTCTTTGAGCATGCAAACAACATGCAAATGTGTTGGGGAAGACACACAATGGATTTACAGACATGCAGGAAGAGGGACATAGTTGCAGGGAGATATACACATGAATACAAATTTAAGAAGGAAGAAAACACCAGTGAGCCCATGCATAACACAAACAGACAAAGAGGAATAGAGGGAAAAGAAGAAAATAAAGGTGCTCATCAGTTAACAAGAAAACAGAGAGAGGAAAAGCATGTTCCGCTTGACAGATCAATAATAATAATAATAATAATAATAATAATAATAATAATAATAATAATAATAATAATAATAATAATATACTTTATTGTCATTGTACATAGTACAACGAAATTAAAGATGCAATCATTTCGGTGAACCATACTCATATACACTCACACAACCATTCATAACCATCCCATAACTCCCCTTACATAACAGTGGGCCCTTGGCCTACACAGGTAGCAGAATGAAGCGTCAAATCCATAAGTGGTAGGGTGCAGTGTTCCCTCTAAGCTGAGCTTTTGTCTCACTCAGGAAGGATGGCTCCAGAGCAAACTACTTTATGCAGTAGCCAAATCGCTTGCTCACAACTTTAATGCCAGCAGCTCACAAAGTAGCATTTTTGCTCACAAGACTCTACAGCTTAGAGGGAGCATTGGTAAGGTGGACTATACCACTTCAGACTGCCACTTGTGAACACATTCTCACATTAATCAACTGGTTTTTCTACTTGCAGGGAACCTGGTCCACCACCTGCAATCCAAAGTGGCACTGTCCATTCTGTTCTCTCAGAATTCAGTCTGCTGCGTGGGTAGACCAGGCTTGAAATAGTGAACTTATCCAGAGAGTAACCAGGAGAGTCATGTATTACCTACATCATTATTTTAAAGCCAGTGGGGGATCCCCTCCCCCACTAATTGTTCTAGTAAGAGCTTATATCAAAAGAAGAAAGAAATAGGTTGAAGGCTAAAGATGTTAGGAAAACTGGCAGTAAAACTGCCTCGGAAAGTCAAAATGTTTATAACCTTCCCATTTGTACTGTTTGGACATTTCTAGAGTTCTGGATAACCTTCCAGTTTATAACCTTCCCATTTGTACTGTTTGGACATTTCTAGAGTTCTGGATAACCTCCAGTTACACCCACCATTTCTTGACTGGCATTAAAGATTAGGAGAAAATAAGACAGTTGCAGGGAAGAAAGCTGGGGAATGCATTCGTTCTTACCTACTTGGGATTCCATAAAAATAGTATTTCATGATTGGCTCAAGGACACTCAGGAATTTGCCTGACTGAAAATAACAATCTCTGAAGCTGGGCAGAAGGTGATCTGAAGAAGCTGGATCAAATAAACTCTCTTTCTGATGACATTGCCCTAATAACAGGATGATGCAGCATGAATTTAGCCTGGCAGGATTCTTCTCAAACTGGCAGATCAGATAGCTACAAGGGTAAGACCTTGAAGCAGAAGAAAATATAGAATCCTGGAGCCAATATGGAGACTGACAAATTGTCCTGTACAGCCATAGTACATTGCACTGGAGGATAACAACAGAAACTAAAAAAGAGTGGTTGATTTCCTAATTAGCATTATTATTTAATAATATTTTTGGGCGTTCCAGAGTTTGGAAATAGGTCTTCCCCAACTTCTCTTAGAAGTAATAACCTTGGGAATCGCACTAAAGTAATCTGGTAGAACCAAATTATTCCATGTTCTGTCCTAGCAAACAGACCATGTATATATTTGTCATCAGTATTTTTTAATTTTTTTTATGTTTTATTTATGAGTTTTCAGAAAGCCATACAATAGAAAATTTAACAATCTTGTACAACAAGATAGCAAACTTTTTGAGTCATATATAATAGTTATTACTTTATACACTAATTATTATCTATCCAGGTATAAAAAAATTTCCATCTACATTTAAACAACACATCATCTCTTCCCTGTAAAACTGTAGATAGTTTATCAATTTCTACCACATCTAATACTTTATAAATCAATTCCTTCCTAGAGGGTATTCCCTCTTGTTTCCAATACTTGGCAAATAGAATACGTGCTGCTGTGATTATATATGTAATAACATATTTCTCATCTACTCTATATTCATCAGGTAGCATATTTAACAAAAAGAGTTCCAGGGATAAAGGTATATCTATCTCTAAAATTTCTGAGATAAATTTATGTACCTTATGCCAATAACGTTGTGTTACATTGCTTCTCCACCAATTGTGGTAGAAGGTGCGCACATTATTTTTGCATTTCCAGCAATTTTTTGATCCATTTGGATAACATTTTGCCAGCTTACCAGTGCCACCTGTGGAACATTTTTTAGACATTTTCCTTATATGGGATTGACCTTAAATATTTCACAGATTTCCACGTCTTGGACCAAGTAGCTATACCTATAGTACGTCCAATATCTTGCATCCACATAATCATGGATGGTTACATGGATCTGTCATCAGTATTGCACAGTTTGTATTTAAGGGAAATATAAAATGCTTTGGAGGTCATTAATTCATAGGTTCGCCATAAGTCAGAATTGACTCGATGGCAGAGAAAACAAAAAATGTTTTAAGCCCCAGCTGCCTCCTACAGAGTCACAAACTTTACATATGGATGGAAATGGCTTAATTAAAGTCAAAATGGGTCTTGATGTCAGTCATGTCAAAACTGGACCTAATTAGTGTGCCACTAAATCTCTGACCGAAGGAAATATATGCAAAATACCCTGAATGGGTCAGGGAATAACACCAAAGTTCTTTAAAAGTTTCTGGGTCAGGATTGCTTGCAGCTCAAAGCAAGAAGGAGGCGTGCTCTTACTGGCTACCGACTGTCCTCTGCCCTTGGCTACACAGACGTCTGATCTGAGGCTGGGCTAAACGCAAGTCATATCAAGCAGAGGAAATGCATACACTTGGACAGATGTTCCATCAGTTGCTGGAAACTCTGGAGTCTAGGAGAGGTAACTTCTCCCTACCTCATGTAAAAGGTAACATGGTGATTAGGTGTGAATCCATCTTGTGCACAGAGCCAAGTGGAAGGAATGCTCACCTTGCCAGACTAATACAGCACACAGATGAAAAGGGTGTGAAACAATATACAAGCGTGTCCCAGATGTCCACCTCTGGATTACTGACATTTTGAATCAAGATAGGTTTGCCTCAGAACTAAAAACAATTTAACAGTATTCTAGATGCACAATGAGAGTATGCAGCGCAGCACACAGGTGAAGATCAGGCATAGATCAGGCACATACCATCCGAACTCCAGCTGTTCCTTTGGCTGCTCTGCTTGATGGGCGTAGTCCCCGGGAGATCACAGGATGTGAAAATTGCATTTTGACCAGGGACCTGAACTAGTTCTATGCACTTGCCGTTGAGCTGGGAGGACAAGGCACAGTGCATGGGCTTATAGGAGAAGGCAGAGCAGTAGCCTGAGAGACAGGCACGCTGGTAGAAATCCAACACTTTCTTCCTGAGGGGAAGTGAAAAAAGGCAAATGGCCATCAGAGAGATATTTTGCACAACGCAGCTTCACAATACAACAAGAACTGACCGGCATAGAAAAAAAAACCCCTAGATTCTATTCAGGAATAGAACCTGCTAGAAAAAGTGTTCCATTCATTCCTGTTCAGTGAGTCTGAAGTCTCATTCCTCTTATACTCATGGTGCAGGGATCTGCAAGCAATGAAACCCTTCTACCCTCCACATTTCTGAGAGATGGACCGTTGCTTCCCCGCAGCTAGCATTCAAAAGTCCCTTACAGGTGCGGCTTACAAGTTTCACCCATATTGATCCCACGCAATACAAATCAGAAACAGATCGAGTGTAATGACTGGGGAAAGCCCAGAAATTAAGCACTGGGCACATCTCTGCTCAGCAAGACAATCAACTAAAAATCCAGGCATTCACTGCTATAACCTAACAGCAAGCTACTTCCCCTTCACTGCAGTGGTATCACCCGCTCCAATTCAGCCAGTAACTTGATAGTCAGGAGCACTGTTCCCTCTAAGCTGAGTTAGTGTGAGGCAGCTCACAGGTTTTTAGCCTCCGGCTCACACATTTTTGTCTTCGCTCAGGAAGGATGGCTCCAGAGCAAGCTAATTTAAGCAGGGCAAAATCGCTTGCTCACAACTTTAATGCCAGTAGCTCACAAAGTAGAATTTTTGCTCACAAGACTCCACAGCTTAGAGGGAGCATTGGTCAGGAGCATAGGAACCTTTCATAGGGATGATTACAATACTGCAGAAGGAAATCCTTTTTTCTATTTAAAGCCCTCCCCCACCCAAGCCCCCCCCAACCCCCCCCTCCCTGCAACCAAGAAGACACAGGGGAAGTGGTAAAAAGGGAGAGCCCTGACCTGGTTGGGCCAGGCTAACCTGAGCGCTTCAGATCTCAGAAGCTAAGCAGGGTTGGCCCTGGATAGTATTTGGATGGGAGACCTCCAGGGAAGTCCGGGGTTCCTACACAGAGGCAGGGAATGGCAAACCACCGCTGTTCATCTCTTGCCTTGGAAACCTGACAGCACTCTCCACTGCCAGAAAGGGAGGACTCACGCTGGCCCAAGCAAAACTGATTAAAAAAAAAAATAGGAAGAGACTCTTTTTCCTTCTTAAAAGGAACTTTTAAAATTGCTTATGAGAATAAGAACTGAGAGCCAGTTTGGTGTAGTGGTTAAGTGCGCGGACTCTAATCTGGGAGAGCCGGGTTTGATTCCCCACTCCTCCACTTGCACCTGGCTGGATGACCTTGGGCAAGCCATAGTTCTAGCACAGCTGTTCTTGAAAAAGAGCAGTTTCTGTCAGAGCTCTCTCAGCCCCACCTACCTCACAGGGTGTCTGTTGTGGGGAGGGGAAGGGAAAGGAGTTTGTAAGCCGCTCTGAGACACCTTTGGGTAGTGAAGGGTGCGGGGTATAAATCCCATCTCTTCTTCTTCTTTTCTTTTATAAAAAAGTTTCAAAACAGTAAAGAAATCCATTTCAGGGTGACAGAGAATGACAAATTACTTGCTGTGAGTACTAATAAGTGCCTGCCAGAGTTACACAAAACAGACATAACTACTGCACGAATTTTTGGTTGCACTTCTAGGGACTGTTTTTGGCTTTATCAAAGTATAGCTTGAAGTATTATGAAAACCTGCAAAATCAGTTTTAGGCCCAATCACAGCTCAAGACAGGAAGGGCAACACGTGTGTCGGGGCAACAGCAGTGCTGCAGGACTGCCTCTGCAGAGCCACTGCTGGAATGCAACCAAGAGCCTGGTCTCTCTCAACCTTCCTCTGCAGGAAGCCTCTGCCAACGGCACCTTCATAAGCAGCTTTGAACTACCTTCGGAGAAACATGAACTGCCTGAAGGATGCAGCTCAAGCAGAAACCTCGCCAATAATCCACTCTATAAGGCCAGTGACTTGCGCAGGTGAGAGGTAAGGTTTCCTACCTGTCAGAGCCAGACAGTGGATAAATATCGGAGCCATCCCAGAAGTCCGTGCAGGCCTCAAGGATGATGTCAGCTGTCCCATGGGAAAGCATCTGCTCAGTGCCTAGCAGAGAAAATTGGGCCCACGTCTTAAGCCTGAAAGTTGCTGGCTGAAAGATACACTCATTTTACAGATCTCTAATATTCCATATCACCCACAGGCACACTGTGGTGCATTTGACAAATATGGGGGAGGGGGGGAGAGTATCCAAAACCAGCCATTTATTTATCCTCTAAATCACTACTATAGAAGAACATCAACTGTCAGCAGCTGGGAGAGAGGCCAAAAGAGTCTCCAGACAGAGCTGCCCATGATTTTAGGGGAGGGAAATTTCCATGGCCAGCAGATGACTTGGGGTCTGCCTGGGTCCTATCAAGCGGGCAAGCTCTGCCCATGTTGAAACTTAATTTCCAGGGACAGGGGGACCCCATTCAGACGAACCAGAGAACGTGGGATTCATGGGGTTTAAGCCTCCCCTTCCTGCAACATTTCCCTGGCCTAGAGCAGCCCCATTTGGGAAACCTGCGTGTGGATGGGATATCCCAGGGGGCCCCAGTGTGGTGCCCACGGCACTCGCCAACACCTTTCCTGGGGCTTGTCACATGTTTTGAGGAAATGGGTGGGGACAGATGGGGCTTTTGCCCAGAAGGGGCTTCTGATTGGCTGTGCTGATTTTTAAAAAGTTGTTTCAACAGAAGCTGCCACCACAGTACAAGGATCCTCAGCGTATGACTGAAGGTAAGCTGTGTCTATAGAATAAAATATTTTTAAATGATATGTTCATTTAAAAAGGCATCCTGTTACAGAGCTTCTGCCTGAAATGTCAAAGAGTTAGTAGTAGGCTTATGCATGACCTTATCCCCTGACATCTTGTGGTTGTCTCCAGCTCCTGTGGCAGCCATTTTGTGCCTGTACCCGTCACCCTGTGTCAGAATTCCAAAGGGGCCTGCAGGCTCAAAAAGACTGGGGACCCCTGGGCTAAGTTTTTCCAGTGGGGAAAACAATTGATCTCCAGGGTCATTCAAGTCAGGAAAATGGAAGAAAAGGAAGGCTTAAGTCCCCTCTCCCTGTGCCCTATGGGGTTGACCCATATCAGGCACCTAATTCCCCCCCCCAATGCCTGGATATTAAGTTTCATCAACAGACCCAAAAACAGACCCATGACCAATGTGTCATATAGTTAAGCTCTCAAAGAATCTGTTGCCTTCATCCACCTGCACAGTTCCATCCATACCTTGGTCATGCTGGAATGCGACAAAAACCTTCCGGGCTTTTACATATATTATTTATCATTGTTTTCCTTTTAAACTCATCGGGGGTGTAACCGTCGAAAATAACATTAAACTGAACGGAAACCATCCTAAGCCATTCTCACAACTGTTCAGACCCTTCACATATCCTAGAAATCTGCAATGCAAGTGGGAAATTCCTGCAATCTGACCTTTTACTTTGAAAGTATGGGTGATCACAACATCCAGTTAGATTGGATGTCATAATCAAACAGAGTTTTGACTCCTTTGAACTGTTCCTCAACCATACATCTATTCCAAGGGACAGTCCGTCTGTGTTAAGACTTGGTCCTAGCACTTATAGATGGTTCTGTAAGTGACCTAAAAACCATCCCTGAGTGCCTGGATTGAAATCTTTTGTCCCCAGTCTTTACAGATACTAGGGGAGCACGGGTAAAAGAGAAAAGGAGGAAACAAGGGTGTGGACCATTCCTTCTCCACAGGAGTCTAGGACATGCCTACTAAATAGCCATGCCTACTAAAAGGCAGAAGGAATCATAACAAACAAGCCAATGAGATAATTTACTATACTGGAAGTGCGCTCAGCATCCAGGAATCCCCCGACCTCAGGGCAACAACTGAAATCCCCCTACCTCAAGACAGCGACTGGAACCAATTCTAGGTTTAGGCCTCAGCTGAGACTAGAGTCAGCCAGACACTGAGAAGCAGCTTCACATCCACAGACCTTCATAATGGGCACCATATTGACAGGCAAGCCTTTTCCCTTTCTTTCTTAGAACCTCTCCCTTAGTGCATTTCAGTTCTTAGAACACATATCAAGATCTTGACTAAACATGGATGTGCTACAAGGCAAAAGGCCATTGCTGAGATCATATGTGATCATCACATTTCTGATCACACACTAGTCAGAAGACAGCCAGGTCAGAAGCCTTACTGGTAGTGGTGTCTTTAACAAAAAGGCTGATCATGTGACTCAAAGGCGGTCTCCTCTTGGTGATGAAAGAGACTTTTCCAAGCATCATCTCTTTCACCATCTCATCGGACGGCAAACGATAAAGGGCCAAGTAGTTCTCCTGCTTGAAAAGCTCTTTGGCACCAGGTGTAAAGCCTGTAGAAATGAACATGAGAAGAGAAGGAAGGTAAGATGGAAGTCCAAGAAACTTGGTGCTCACGTCCCTCCTTGCCCACCATTCTGTCTTGCTGCTCTTTTTTCCCCACCCCACAACTCTCCAGGTGGTATTAAGTCAACATTTCAACCCCACATTTCTTGCAGCTTAACCATATCACTGAGCTCCAGTTCACACTTCTGCCAATCCATATGCAATTAGCCTCCAGGAGCACGTAGAATCACCATCAAGTTTCTAATTGGTAGGTGCTATTACTGGTGCCTCCACACGGGAGCTGCAACTATGGCTACCACAATCTGTAGTGATTAAAATACTTCCTTGAGCCACAGTGGCTGCATAAATCACAGCGGCCCCGCACATCTGACAGAAGGGATGTTCATATAAATTACAGGACAATTCTAGCGGTGGTCCCACACAATCTGTGAAGCCACTGCTTGGAGGTCACTAGATCTATGAACTGGCTCTGCAAGAAAGAATGGATTGCTCTCAATGACACAAGGAGGTGATGCAGCCTTGCCACATGACTATCTTTTATGAAGCTCAGGAGAGAGCTGAGGCTGCCTTTCTGGATGCAAAAAGAATGTGACAAATGTCAGAGGAGCTGGCAGAGAGAGCATGCACACACACAGCATGTATCCTGCTTGGACTATGAACAGCACCATGCTACCTCAAGAGCCAGTCAGCTTATACTGATTTAGTATGCTAAAGTGTGGAATGGAGGCACTGATCACTGCTGAAACCCACATCTTCTCTGCCCAACCTTCTGTACAATGTTGATTCCACCAGGGAATCACTTCCAAAGACCCAAGCAAAGGTTTCACCATCTTGACAGGGGACGGCAAAGAAAGATGTACAGGCAAAAGTGACCTTTTGGGCTCATCAGCATTAAAGGAGAGGAAGCTTTTCTAACAGTGCCTCAGCAACTCAACAAAAATTACATTGAAACTCCACCACCAAACGAACCGACCCTGCGATCAGCATCACCCTTACCTATAAGCCTGGCAAGCTCACAGAGCCCCCATGGCACATGGACAGGCAACACGGCGTTGTGTGTTTCCTGTAAGGCGATGTTGCAGAGGTGGTCAGAGAAGCGGCACAGGCGTTCTGTCACACTTGCATTGCACAGGTTGAGCAACACGTTCAAGCCCAGGGGCTTCAGGGAGGTTAAGTGCGTCTGCCAGTTGGAATCGTCAAACTGTATGCACGAGGGATTCTGCTGGTCCTGAGACAGGCTGAGCATCTCCAGGTGATAATCGCACACAAAGTCTTCAGCTTCACACGCCAGTCCCTCGCTGTCACCCTCAACCTGACTCTGCATTCAAAAGGGAGTCTGGTTAACTCTTCATGGGGTGGAGTGGGTAATATCTGCTCAGCACAGCCCCTCATTACAGCCAAGTGGCACAGTGCCAGCACCCATTCCCCTTAATGGGGCATAGGGAGAAGCTTCACAAATTTAGGGGAACTTAACATACATGGGCCTCATACAGCCATTGAGTTCTTCTGTACAGCAAACAGAATGGTTAGCCTTCTGGGAAAAAAATCTCACCTTTCATTTTAAAAGCTATTTTCTCACTCTCATGGTACAGAAAATGCACAGACTCTTTACTGGTGAGTGCTATTGCTAGTATTCCATGGGAAACGGCATGAACAAAAGCAGTGCGCAACTAGCCCTATTGCCATGGCTTGGCAATCACTGTTTCTTGTGAACAGAGACAATCTGCAAAAGTAGCTGTGATCCTTTGGCCTCCACTGCCGAACAAGACACATACTGGTTTAATATGGCCATATTTATTTATTTATTGGATTTATACCCCACCCTCTCCACTGAAGCAGGCTTAGGGCAGCTTACATAAAAGAGTTAAAACAGTTTAAAACATATAAAATCTAAAATGTAATACATATATATTGTCCAAACCACATTTTAGAAAACCAGGAACTGCAGTCATACATCATTAGGCAGCCACTCGTCGGTAGCCACACTGTTTAAAGTTAACCAGCAAGGCCACCAGGAAGGTAAGTAGAGATCTAACAGCTGCCAGGTGATTTCCTCACTGCCCTTTCTGGTTTTAAAACTGATTGTACTTGCACAAGTGAATTTGGTCCAAGACACAATTCAGTCCCTCCTTTTACCCTCCACTGTCCTTTGCCAAGTTCTCTACTCACTGAGCCTCGAGGACCCACTCCTCTCACAGCCTTACATCTGTGTACTGCAAAATCTGGTTACACTCAGGTACTCTTAGGCCACAGCAACAGGCACACTCACAGTGGGCTCAGCACATGCACTTGGGCTTGCTCCTTCTAAAGGAGGCCCCACCCCAAGGCTGGACTAGGCAGTCAAGAATCATGGAGCAGTCAATAACATGTCTCAAGCCGCCCTGCCCATAGCCTACTATGAGATGACCCTCAGCTGAGATGCTAACAGCCGTGGAGTCCAAAGTCACACTTGTCCCTAGAGGTTCCACATGAAAATCCTCCTCCAAAGTGATCATGCAGAGTCTTCAACGATCACTACCCGCTGCTTCCTTTAGTCTGCCTCTCCAACTGAGAGAGGTGCAGACAGCTGGCCTGAAGTAGCAATCCAGGCTGTGCTACTGTAGGCATCTTCCCTATGACCAGCAGTTCTCATCCTATATGTGGAGGGGGGGGGGGTCACAAAGCTAAAGCTGGAGAACTGGAGAGAAGCCAGCTCTGTACACCCCTCCTCCCAACAGGAAAAAGAGAGCTGCAGTCTCTCCTCCTCCCCACCTTCACTCTGTGAGCCAATTCACAGCCACCAAGTTCACTCGAAGCGACTACTTGTGTGGGAGCCTGTGCCCACTGCCACATTGTCAGCAGTCTGCACCACTGGATCCCACAAAAGTGAGGTATGTCCCACTACAAAAAGTTGGTGAACCACTGCTTTAGACCCTGCAAATATGAAGCCCAACCCTTTAACCATAGGTGAACAGGTCCACCACATGTTCAGATCACCAGGCAACTGTGGTTTCCTTCAAGTCATACAGATTCCTTACACCGGCGAGTCGTTGATCTAAGAAACATCAGTCCTTTTCCCCTCCCATGTTTTCTCTACTAGTAGACCAGGCCACCATCTCTGCTCTGATGCTGAGGGGGGTCTCCTCCTGACACATGCAGCTCTTTGCATACCTTACCTGGACTGGCTCCTCCTCTCCCCCATCGGTGTTCTTGCAGAAGCTCACGTTGGATCCTGAAGGGTGCTTGCTTCGGCTGGATGCTTTCTTGTGGATATGAGTGTCAGACGATTTTGGGGTGTTGCTGGTAGACCATTCTGTTCTGTCTTGCTCATTGGTGATGTGAACTATGTCTGACAAAGGCCCTGAGAGCAGAGCATCCCTTTCATGAGGCTGTAATACAGCACAAGAACGGGTAAACAGAGTAACGCAGGCAAGTCAAAATAAAAGGAAACTACATTACCCAGTTTAATCTTTCCCAGGAGATAAGAAGTTGGTCCCCTATTCAATTTCCCCTTCCCGCTCTAGAAAAGGAGGCATTTAAGGGATTTCCCACCTCTCGCTCTCTTCTCCACCCCCATCAACCTGCCCCACCAGTTTCAAGAATTCTACACTTCTTTGAAAGTCCTTCCAGACTGTATTACGCCACAAAAACATTACCACGCAGGTTAGGCTTTAATTAAAATCAGGGCTCTCCCCCCCACTACAAGTGTTACACTGGAGCTATTACCATGGTTGTGAACACTGGATCCAGACTATATTTTACAACAGTGGAACAGAATATGCTGCCGAAGGCTTTCACAGACAGAGTTCATTAGCTGTTGTAGATTTTCCGGGTTGTATGGCCGTGGTCTTGGCATTGTAGGACCTGACATTTCGCCAGTAGCTGTGACTGGCATCCTCAGAGGTATAACAAAGAAAGACAGAGTACTCTCTGTGTCAAGGTGAGAAGAGAAATGGTAGGCAGGTAATTTATATCTACTCATTTTTCTTCTCACCTTGACACAGAGAGTACTCTGTCTTTCTGTGTTATACCTCTGAGGATGCCAGTCACAGCTACTGGCGAAACGTCAGGTCCTACAATGCCAAGACCACGGCCATACAACCCGGAAAATCTACAACAGCTAGTGGAACAGAACTTTCCTGCCTTCCCCCTCCCACTGATCTGTACTAAATGCTGCTCCTGGGGGATAGAGGACTCTGAGGAGTGAGAGGGGGGGAGACTGCAGTGGGAAAGGAGAACTAGTAGAAACTGCCAGTTCAGTCTGGATCAATTATTCCCCCCCCCATCTTGAATAGATCTGAGCATTGTATAAAAATGCAACAGACGTCTCGCCTGCCAATCAATAACACTTCTTATTTTTATTTATTCTTAGCTTGCCTTTCTTGCATCTCATGAAGCAGGCTCTAGAATACGAAAGCTACAATCAACCTATTGGTGCTAAGAGGCCCCAAGACCAAGGCCAGCTGTCCTAGCCACACTAAAGACTGCTTGGAGTGGCACGATGAGGGGATGCCAGCACAATGCTTGACTTGCTCCCAGCCATCCGCAGTGCAGGATGGATATCAGCTCCTGGGGAGCCAACCAGCAGCACCAGAGAAGGCAGAACTGCTTGGGACAACAAAATACCCTGAACCCACCATGCACCAGACTCTTTAACAATTTAGAGTACTGTCTGCACTACTGAGTTAGTTTTTCCTTATGGCAGAAATTGGTAGAGTGTCTGCACTACTGAGTTAGTTTTTCCTTATGGCAGAAATTGGAAAAAAAAATATTAGAACTAAATTCAGTGGGTCTTGGCAAAACATCCTTTGTGGCTCAAGGACTCTTACCTCTTCTTCTGTTTCTGGGTGGCAAAAGGAACGTGTAGAGATCTCATCTGTCAGGTCTTCATGGCTGCTATGAGGAGGTTCCACCTTGCCACTAAAGAACAAAACCGTCTCTGGACTGGGATTAGGCCAAGACAGTATTCCTTGCTTATCCACACAGCAAAGCACCTAAAACAGGCCCAAGACATCCCACAACACCCCAGAGATATACAATAAACTATTGGCAAGATTGGGATTGAGATCACTGAGGCAGAAAAGCATCAAGCATGACATCTCATCTTGCAGGCAAAGGAGGAAGCAGAGCCCTTCCAAGCAGCCTTGGTCTTCACAGGTCTGCAACTATTGAACAGAGCTAAGTTCTGCAGTGGCCTTGGTTCTAATGGCAGGCTAATGTACAGGTGCCATCACAGAAATGTTAAGATCTTTACTTAGGTGGGAAGGAGCACCCCTAGTTTACTGAGCGGGATTAACAGCTAAACAGCAGCGTATGGTCTTTAGCTGCCCTGTAATGAACCACTGTCTGTCCCTCAAAAGGCATTCTTCTTGATATCACAAAAAACATCTATGCACTCTCCAAGTTTGCAGTTAGGGTTAGGGTGTGCTGCAAAGAATAGACAGAAGGCCAGATTCAATAGTAGGTCAATGGAGGTGTGGCCCAAGGAGGTAAAGAAGTCTAGATTGACACTGGTTTGATCTCAGTCAGAGAATTCCAGGTTTATCCCATTTTTCTAGATATGGGAAAAACTATAGCCAATTGCTTGAATCTAGTCAGTTATCTAGCTGGATTAGGGTTTACCATTGCCACAGCTATGGCAGGAACCTGATCTACTTTATCCTAGGTATATCAAGTCTGTCCGAACACATTACTTAAAAGCTACCATCAGATCTATATATATAAAAGAAAGTCCCCTCACCGTAAAACCAATGCCCAGGCCAAACCCTCGGACCTAGAAACACGAAATTCAGGGAGAGCACTCCTATCATGATGTAGATGCTAAGAAGGGATTTTTAGAAATTCGACCCCTAAGGGGGTCAAAAAGGGTAAAATGTGCTCCCCCATAGTTTCCTATGTGGCCAGGCTGCTGCCTCCTTGTACCTCCCACTCTCTGATTGGTCAGCTGCAGAGCTCAGTGTTCTGAGGTTTAAAAAAAAGTCACAGGAGACTGCAGAGAGCTAATGACAATTGAGGAAATCAGGAATGGCCAACAACCACTGGTGAGGTGCAGCAATGTTGCTGGCGCAGCCTCCCCAATGGCTTCAAAGATGCTCCCCCACCTCCTACACATGACAGGCGGCTGTCTGTCAGGTGCAGCAGTGAATGCAAGGTGCGTAAAGCCATCAGGGAGCCTGCCCCAGCAGTAACGCCTTAGTGAGCCTGCTGGCCCAGCCTCCACAGTGGCTTGCAATACCCCGCCCCCTCCTACACTGGATAGGCAGCTGCCTGTCAGGTGTAGGAGAGGAGGTGGGATGCTTACAGCTGTCAGGGAGACTTGCTCAGCAGGATTGCCTTAGCGCTGCTGCTGGCCCACTTTCCCTGATGCCTTTAAACACACTCCCCCCAACACCAGACAGGCGAGTGCCTGTCAGGTGTATGAGCAGAGCCAGGGTACTTTAAACCATCAGGGAGGCCGCTCGAGCAGAAACACCTTAGCAATGCTGCTGGGCCAGCTTCCCAAATGGCATTAGACACACTCCCACCCACTATGGCAATATACCCCAAATTTGTAGAAAAGTGGTTTCCTGTATTAGGTTAACTTCTCACAAAGTAGATTCTAGAAAATGGTTCATATGAACTTGCTTAACATCTGATTGCTCAGATGTTGATTTGAATACATAGTTGTGTCCCACTTCTTAAATATAACACAAATGAGAAACATTTTTGTAAAGAAAAGAAAGTGTATGCCCTGCACACACACACACCCCAAATTACTTATTATTATTAGTTATATTTATGAATTGCACCACCACTGCTACTGCAGGGCTCTGGGCGATGTAAAACCAGAGATAAAACAAGATAACATTAATTAAAAACATTAGTACAACATTAAAGACAATCAGATGGTGAATAACCAATCCTCATTCCAACTCCCACTGCCGACTACTTCATGGACAGGGGGGAGGAAGGCAAATAGATGTAAACAACAGGGAACGGGAATGGTGCCAGCCAAGATGGAACCGTTGCTGTCCTCAACCAAAATTCAATGCCCAGGCCAAACCCCAGCACCAAGAAACTTAAAATAAGGGGAGTGCATTCCTACCATGATGTCAAACCCCACTACGAAGAGATTTCTGAGAAACACAACCCCTAAGGGGGTAAAAAGGGGGCAAAATGTGTTCCCCAACTGTTTGCCCTTCCCCTTTAATTGGTCAACTGTGTAGCTCAGAGTTCTGAGGTAAAACCTGCCTGCTTGCACCCACCTCCCTCTGATTGCTCAGCTGTGGCTCTCAATGCTCTGAGGTAAAAACACAGTTAAAAGAGACTGCAGACAGTTGAGGACAGTTACAGAAATCAGAAGTTCAAGACTCCTGAATAGACATTTCTCATAACAGTCAGCATGGCAATCGAGTTTATGAACGTTCATGGGGAGATAGTAAAGGACCTTTCTAGGAGCCCTTTTGATGTGTATCTCCTTCATGAACCTGAAGAAATGTCCACTGCATTACCACTCCCTCAGACCAACTCCCCCTCACACTCACTTCTTACTGCCCCCCAAAAAGCTCCTGGCAAACATTGAGCCAGATATACAACAACACTACAAGGAGGAGCTAACTTAGGAACGCGGCAAAGACATTTGCACATAGTGCTCCTGAGGTGCACTGAGCTGCGTTGGTCAAGTGCCAGCAAGATCACCCTGAGGTGCTCAGAACAACTTCTCACTTTTACATTACAATCTTCTCCATTAGAATTCCTACAATAAATGTTACATTTCAAACTTCACATCATCAGTATTAAAACTGGATTTACGGAACTTAAATACCGTAGCGAAGCACGGGTATCAGGCTAGTATTACGCAAGAGATGCACTCATGGAACTTACAAGAATCTCTTTATAACAAAGCAAACAAGAACACTGAATTAATGGACCTGCAAAGGCAGTCTGATCAAGGAAATTAGGGTACCAGTTATTAGATCTCTTTGCAATCATACTTACTGTGACAGATCCCAAGCTGTGAAGCAAGCTCGAGGTGAAGGTGAGCGTTGGAGACCTGCCCTTCAGAACATGCACAAAGTGGCTCCAGATACATCGTATCATTTCCTGCCAGGAAGAATAGAAATCCACAAGAATGTGGTAACTGCTCATGAGGAGGAAGAGTCCTAGATGACTTCAGGTAGATTTAATTGTGAACCATGATCCTTTTCCAGAAAGCTAGGACCATATACACAGGTGTGGCCAGGAGTCTGAAAAGACAAAGCCAGCCTGCTAGATGCAAAGAACCATCTGGAAGCCTGCTTGGTCACTGCTACCTTGGGGGGGGGGGGGGAGTTCACATGGGATGAGATTTGGTTTATAAGATTTTATGGATTTTATTGTGGGTTTGTTAAATATTTGTATTGCAGCCCACTCAGGGAGCATTGCTATGAGACAGGATAAAAGTGTAATAAATAAATAACATTCTTAAGGAACCTTATTGTCAGGTCCAACAACTATTATGTAGTTTGTTACCTTGTTATCTAATCCTCTTTAGCCAATGGGCGTGAACTAAGAGCAGAACTCCAACCCACAGGGGCTATTTATTCATTTTATTTATTATTTGTATTTATACCCCGCCCATCCCGCAAACGGGCTCAGAGCAGGTAACATCATATTATAGTGAATACAATTAAAATGTTAAAAACACTGTATAAACATTAAAATCGATGGTACAGCTTAAAAACAAAAAACAAGCTGGCTATAAAAGATTCTGGCCCATTGGTATAGTTAGATTAAATAATGCCCAGTTATGGTGGGTGATAGAAACCTCAGGGAGGCCACGTGTGGACATCCACTGCCTCAGCCAAAGGCCTGGCGGATGGACGTCCCTCGGGCCAGGAACCCCCAGGAGGTGTTGATCTTTAGAGCGTAACAAGAAGGGGAACCCGCGATAGTCGCAGGGGGGAAGCTCCATGTGGAGGAGAAGGAAGCAGCCGCAAGTGAGCCTTCTCCCCTTCTCCCCTGCACCAACGGCGAGGCCCATGTGGTTCCCAGCCGCCAAGCCCACCAAGCCTTCTCCCTCCTCCTCCCTCCCCCCGGCACCAAGACCTGAGCTCGGCCCGCCAAGCCTTCTCTTTCCCCCTCCCGCCGGCGGCGGCAAGGCCTGAGTGGTTCACAGCTGCCGGCCTGCCAAGCCTTCTCCCCCCCCCCCTCCTGCCCCACCAGCAGCGGTGGGGCAGTTGCCGGGACAGTTGCCGGGGTGTTCTCTGCTCTTGTACTTTGGGGGGGGGGATTTAAATATCCCCCATATATTTTTTTAAACTTTTTAGATTTTTCTGCACACCTGGGGACTGCTCCAAGTGTGCAGGAAAATCTCTCTGCCCCCCAAGTGCCCCCAATGTGCGGATTTAGATATCCACATGGAGGGGGTAACTTGGCTATTAGATATATAGATGCTCTTCAAGGAGTATATGGGAAGAGGCGGTCCCTTAGATACGCTGGTCCCAGACTGTATAAGGCTTTAAAGGTCATTACCCACACACTGAAGCGAATCCAGTACTCAACTGGCAACCAATGCAATTAGTGGAGCACATGCCAAACGTGAGCCTGCACAGGCGTCAACGTCAGCTGGCGCACCACCACATTTTGCACCATTTGCAATTTCCAGGTCAGCCTGAAGGGTAAGCCTGCATAAAGGGAGTTGCAGTAATCAAGCCTGGAAGTGCTTGTAGCTAAGTCTTGGAGGAAGAGATAGGGCTTCAGTAAACTAATCTGCCTAAGATGGAAAAATGCAAATCTGGCGACTGCAGCAACCTGTCCCTCCATCGAGAGAGAGAGGCATCTAATGTTACTCCCAGGCTCCTCACTGTCTGGGCCAGCATCAAAGGGGCCCCTTCCAGTGTGGGGAACCTGGTGCCCACATCCCCCCCCCGACCCAGGTACAGGACCTCCATCTTCAGTGGATTTAAATTCAACCAACTCTGCTGCAACCATCCAGCCACAGCATCCAAAGCCTCAGCCAGGCTTTCAGGAACGGAAGACAGATGGCCGTCCGCTAACAGACAGAGCTGGGTATTGATGACAACCCAGCCCATAGCTCCAGACTAACGGGCAAGGGGATGCGTGTAGATGTTAAATAACATCGGCAAGAGAATTGCCCCCTGCGGCACTCCACATTCCAGTGGGTATCGTGGGGAGACCCTCCCGCCAAGCACCACCCTCTGTCCCCGACCATGGAGAAAGGAGGAAAACCATTTCAAGGCAGTCCCCTGAACTCCTACGTCGGTGAGGCGGTGGGTCAACAGATCATAGTCGACTGTATCGAAAGCTGCTGCTAGCAGTTGCCTGTCTCACATAGAAGGTCTGAGACACACTTGCTAGGAAAGAAAATTGCAACCATTTCAGATGGGCACCTGCATTTCAACTCCCAAGAAAATGAAAAATTATAGCTGGCCAAACAACCTCCAACATTCTCCAACTGAAGATATATTCTTTAAAATACATGTGCATGCACAGACTATAACTACTGCAGGGCTCTTTTTGTAGAAAAAGCCCAGCAGGAACTCATTAGCATATTAGGCCACAACCCTGACAGGGCAGCTTATTGACATATTAGGCCACCACCACCACCCATGTTACCAGAAGTGTGGTCATCCAGCCACACCCACCTTTTGCTTCTTATTATGCTTACCTTGTTTGTTGTCAAAACAGTTTTGACAAAACCAATAAAAACATTATTTTTTAAAAAAGTTTCTAATTCCATACTTTTAATAATTAATATTATATTTATTTTAAAAGTAACAGTAACATAACCAAACATTTCAATAAACACTCTGGAACTTGGAAACCTATACTGAAATTGTGAGATAAGTCTTAAAAACTAAGTTGAATTCATCCCTCCAAAAGTTTCCAAAATGGTGACAGGTCACCAGTTGCCTCTGCTCTCTCTCGATAAGGCAGAACAATGACCTTGAAGCAACCACTTTCTAACATAATATGTTGGGTTGAAGGCTGTTAATGAAGGCCCAACAATTTTTATAAATAATAGATTCTGCAGTGTTTTGAACGACAAGGAGGACCTTTCTGGGGTGGAATGACAGTCCTTGGGGGTAGCAGATGTGTTCTGAGGGTGGAATGACAGGCCTCAGAGTGGAATGACAGCCCCTGGGGGTAGCAGGAGTGTTCTGGGACTGGAATGACAGCCTCCACAGTGGAATGACACCCCCTGGGGGTAGCAGATGTGTTCTCAGGATGGAATGACAGGCCCCACAATGGAATGACAGCCCCCACAATGGAATGACAGCCCCTGGGGGTAGCAGGAGTGTTCTGGGACTGGAATGACAGGCCCCACAGTGAAATGGCAGCCCCTGGGGGTATTCCACTCCGGACCCTGTCATTCCAGTCCCAGAACTGTATTCTTGGTGCTTTGGGGGGGGGCAACAGTGGGAGGGCTGCTAGTGTCCTGGTTCCACTGCTGGACCTCCTGACGGCACCTGGTCTTTTTGGCCAATGTGTGACAGAGTGTTGGACTTGATGGGCCATTGGCCTGATCCAACATTGGCTTCTCTTATGTTCTTATGTTCTTAACTCTCCTTCTACCCCCAGGAACTGTCATTCCACTCCGTGGTCTCTCATTCCAGTCCCAGAACACATCTGCTACCCCCATGCCCTATCTGTCATTCCACTCTGTGGTCTCTCATTCTAGTCATAGAACCCTCTTGCTACCCCCAGATGCTTTCATTCCACTCCGTGGTTGTCAGTAGGAGGATAAGCCCCTCCCTGCCCGGATCAAAGCCTGAAGCCGACCCTGAAGGAAAGGGAGGAGCTTATCCCAGAAGTACAGAATGTACCACGACACAACCAGTGGAGAACAGATATGTTACCCCCAGGCCCTGTCATTCGACTCCATGGTCTCTCATTCTAGTCACAGAACTCTCCTGCTACCCCCAGGGGCTGTCATTCCACTCTGGGGCTTGTCATTCCATTCCCAGAATACTGCTGCTACCCCCAGGGGCTGTCATTCCACTCTGGGGCTTGTCATTCCATTCCCAGAATACTGCTGCTACCCCCAGGGGCTGTCATTCCACTCTGGGGCTTGTCATTCCATTCCCAGAATACTGCTGCTACCCCCAGGGGCTGTCATTCCACTCTGGGGCTTGTCATTCCATTCCCAGAATACTGCTGCTACCCCCAGGGGCTGTCATTCCACTCTGGGGCTTGTCATTCCATTCCCAGAATACTGCTGCTACCCCCAGGGGCTGTCATTCCACTCTGGGGCTTGTCATTCCATTCCCAGAATACTGCTGCTACCCCCAGGGGTTGTCATTCCACTCTGTGGGCTCTCATTCCAGTCCCAGAACACTCCTACTACATCCAGGGGCTATCATTCCATTCTGCGGCCTGTCACTCAAGTCACAAAACACTGCTGCTACCCCCAGGGGTTGTCATTCCACTCTGTGGGCTCTCATTCCAGTCCCAGACCACTCCTGCTATTTCCAGGGGCTGTCATTCCACTCCATGGTCTCTCATTCTAGTCACAAAACATTCTTGCTACCCCCAGGGGCTGTCATTCCACTCCATGGTCTCTCATTCTAGTCACAAAACATTCTTGCTACCCCCAGGGGCTGTCATTCCACTCCATGGTCTCTCATTCTAGTCACAAAACATTCTTGCTACCCCCAGGGGCTGTCATTCCACTCCATGGTCTCTCATTCCAGACCCTGAACACATCTGCTACCCTCTGGGGCTTTCATTCCACTCTGAGGCCTGTCATTCTAGTCCCAGACGACTCCAACTACATCCAGGGGCTATCATTCCATTTCCATTCTGTGGCCTGTCATTCTAGTCACAAAACACTCCTACTACCCCCAGGGGCTGTCATTCCACTCTGGGGGCTGTCATTCCACTCTGGGGCCTGTTATTCCAGTCCCAGACCACTCCTGCTATTTCCAGGGGCTGTCATTCCACTCCGTGGTTTCTCATTCTAGGCCCAGAAGACTCCTGCTACCCCCTGGATCTGTCATTCTACTGTGGGGGCTGTCATTCCAGTCCCAGAATGCTTCTGCCACCCCCTCGGGCTGTCATTCCACTCTGGGGCCTCTCATCCCGGTCCCAGAAGACTTCTATTACTCATAGGGGCTGTCACTCCAAGCTGGAGCCTGTCATTGCAGTCCCAGAATAGTCTATTTGGGCCCAGGGAATCTAATGGAAAATCCATTCTGCATTTTTATTGCAACTCTACTTGTACTGTAATGTATTTCAATGGAGCCCATGCAAGTCAATTGGCATTCCTGACTCCCATTATTTTCAATGGGCCTTCAAGTGTTTCCCATTGTTTCCAATGGGCAATCCTGTCCTTCCTTTTAGTATATCCCTTTTAGTATATCCCAGAAGCCTAATTAGAAGATATATATTGTTTTTAATTCACAGTTTTTTCTACTCCTCTCTCTTTCTCTCTCTGCTCTCACACACATACATTCCACCTTTCTTTCTGCTTTGGTGTTCAAAATAAAAGGGAAGGGGGGACGCCCGCAGGAGAAGGAAACTCACCCTGTTCCCCAAGGATTTCCACATTTACAACACAAAAGCTCACCAGAAGAAGCAGAAGTTGTGCAGCCTGGAGGAGCAAAACTTTAGAGCTGGCAAATAGCATCCTCTGCCAACTGCCATTAAGTGCACAAGAGCAGACTACAAAGCTAAAAAAAAAAAAAAAGCTCCCAGATCAAGCAGCTTTTGGGTAGAGGACTCTGAAACACCACCACCACCACCACACACACACACACACACACACTGTAGGGAAGCTACGGCTTGACTCCTGATAAGAGATAAAAGAGGGATTTCTCACCACCAAGAGCAGGAAATAGGAGAGGCTGGAGAAGGAAAGAGCTGCGACACCAGAGGCAAGAAGGAGGAAAATTTCAACACACGTGCTCACTCCCAGTGCTCTGCCGATTCTTCTGGGTGAGCGGATCAGGGCTTTTGGTGAGGGAGGGGAGGGCTCAGAAGTCAGGGGGAACGCCGTTCCCCTGCGTTCCGCCCCAAAAATAGCCCTGAAAACTAGCAATTTTTTTTTAATGGCTGGGATTGGCAACACCAGGTCTCTCAATCAACTCAGCTCTTTCGGCAAAAGTAATGAGGACCTTCTCACTGTCATCATAATATCCCACCAAATTACAGCAGAATAAAAGGATTATATTGTATAGTCATTACTGAATGAAAAAATGATATAGTTTTTTAATCCTGCCTTTTTAAAAACAGCCAGTGCTGCTAGACTAATTATACTTATTTAGTGTACCTAAATCATGCTTTGAGTGGGTAAGGGGAATTTTAAAAATTATCTTCTCGATGAGGCCTCAGCACCTAAGAAGAGAGGCAAATGCGGGAGGAGAAATGGTCATTATGGTCCCCCCCCCCCCCGGCCATGGACAGACTTTCACAAATGGACTCCTGGAAATACTCTGAAATCCACTTCCCCAGCTGGGTTCCATGAAACACACAAATATGGATGTTGTGCTTTTCTTCACCTAAGTTATTGAGTTCTATAATTAGATCCTGGTGATTTTTTTAAAAAGAAAAATATGGCATTCTGATTCAGACCCCTAGATACTTACCAGTATCTCTTAGCCAGCAATTTTCACCTCAAAAGATAATCAGTAAATATAGCCTGGATAAGCTTTAAAAAATATAAGCAATCACAGGGTTAAATCACACGACCCTTTTGTTCTCAGTTCAAACAACCAAAGGAAACCAGATCTCTGTGAACATCAAGGAAGAGCACGTGGGAAAGATGTGCAACCACATACAGTGCAGAACAGAATAGCAAAATGAAAGCACCACCCACAGGAAATAAGCATGATGGGAGCAAGTAGGTTACAAAAAGAGAGGAAGGGAAGACTTTACAACGTTGTGCAACACCACAAGAACAGGAGATGGCAAGACTGGTTAATAAAATAGTACCTGGGTAGATACCATCTCTGTGTAGCTGCTCAGCGTATCCTCTGAGAACTTAGCCAGCTGCAGCAAGAGAACAGATTGGTTATTCTCAAGATGCTTAGAAACTATGCACAAGGAACATCCCTCTGAAAATACAGCTCACTAGTGGGAGACAGAGAAGAAAGGACCTAAGCAAACTCCAGAATGCCGCTTTGGCTAAGTTTTCGCAAGTTGAGCATTAAAAAAACAGCCCAACCTCATTCCTAATATCGTACAGAGATGGAGTCAGTGAGGGAAACTGTAGGTTTAACTTGGGACTGTTTTTAGAGGCAGAAGACAACAGTGACTAGGCCAAATATTTTACCTCAACAGCACTGGATATTTAAAAATGGCCAACAAGGATGGGGAGGGGGGAGGTGGCAGCACCGAAAACAAAAGTGGCTCAGAGGAAACCAGGGAAGGAAGATGAGGGCCAAATGAAAAGAGAGGTGAGATCATGCAGAATGGGACACAGATCACTCAAATCTGGTCTAACGGTAAAGGGAAGGCTTGGAAAGGACCAGAGGATACAAAGCATCGCATTTCAAGAAGGTGGAGGAGGCAATGATCATACCTGCTACATTCCAAATGAATCTGGAGAAAAGGGAACAAGAGAGAATGCTACTCTAGCTCAAGACAGAACTCAGCCAAGACACAAATAAGCATTTTTGACACCAAGGGCAAAGATGCAGAACCACACCAAAGATGCAATCACAGAGAAAGAACCACCACTATTTTGTTGGCTGCAGGGCAGAAAAGTCTAAATGAAAAACCAATTGGGAATATGAGCTTGGGTGACAGGGGGGTGCTGGCAACAAATGAAGAGGGAAGATGAAGATAAGGAAATCAAGCTTCACATGCCCACAGCAAGCAAGCAGAGTGGGGGAGAGAGAGAGACTGAAGGAGCAACTAGAGAGGGTAAGAGTCAATTCACGCAAAGATAACACATGCCCCTATTATTCCTGGGCTCCACAGCATCTGACAGTGCAAATGGTGGCATGTTTACAGATTTCAGACCATTGATCAAAATAGGGCTGCCAAGTCCCCCCGGGGGGCGGGGAAACCCCCGCCCCAGAGGCCCGTTCCCTGCCACCAGCGGATCAGGCCCCGGGGGGAACCCCACCCTGGTGTGCGCGTCACCAGGAAGTGATGTTATGACGCCGGGTACGCTGGGGGCGGGGCCACGACCATCCAAGGGGGAAACTCTATGTTTCCCCCATTCGATGGTCGTGGCCTCGCCCCCAGCATGCCCGCGTCATAACGTCACTTCCTGGTGACGTGCGCGCGCGCATAGGACACCGGACAGGAGTCCCCAGGTCCCGACGATTTTCGACTTGGCATCCCTAGTTCAAAATCTTTGCAGAACAGCCAGATTTAGAGCCCAAGTACCCACTTTACCTGCGACATTAAGGCATTTGGGGTTTCCAGACTGCCGCTACTTGAGCCTTCGGAAGAAATCCTGAGGCTGCAACCAGCAGCTTGTCAATCAGGACCTTCTATCACCCCCTATTTTGCCCATTCGCACAACAGCTTGTTGACCCCATTTCAGATCTGCTTCCTTACTCCTCCCTCCCTTGCGCTGCACTAGTATTTCCATTTGTATGCACTGATAATTCACAGGAGAAACCATTGAAAACATTTGCACACAGTAACATTTGCATACTGCGACTCCCGAAGCTACTTGTCGATTCCACTCTAGAGTCACTAGTCTTACGCTGTCCATCCTCTTCCCTTCCTTTCCAACTGTACCCTATTCCTAAGTACTTACCAGGGAGGTAGGGGAGGTCTTGCTCATCTGGGCCAAGACTCTGGCTTCTCCAAAGGCAGTGGCAAGAACCCACAGGACTGGGAAAAGTAGTGGTAGGATGGGCAATACACCATTGACCTGTAAAAAGCATTCCAGTTGTCTAGTAAGTACAATGAGTCTGCATAGCTGGAGATGTTGCATTCGCTCTGGGTAGACTGAAACAGCAATAGAAATTTCATGCTCGCAAAAGGCTATTTTGCTTTTCTGGGATGAGACCAGCACTCAGAGTAATTGAGCATACATACCTAGTAAAAACAAGAATAAAGCATAAAGAATATAGTTAAAAAAACAGATAAGGGCACAGAAGCCCAACCCTTCCCCACACATTGATATACATGTATACATAAACAGGTAATCCTTGCCATATTTTCTGAAAGTCAGCAAACTGGAACCAAAGGCAGGCAAGGGGGACTTCCATGGACAAAGTGCTACCATGCTTCCACAAAAGGAAAATATCTGGACCATCAGCCACAGTATTCTGGCTGCTCTTGATTCCCATGAATGCACATAAAACAAATGGCACTGAACTATGCAATATTTATGGGATAAACTAATCAACTTGAACGGTACACAAACAACGAAGTTTGGCCCTAAACACAGCTGGGAGCTGCTTCCATTTCAGTCCCATCAAGAGGTCAAGCACCTGCCTTCCGTGCCAGCTCAAACATCCAAATCATGAAGTACCTCTCAAACTAGAATGCCTTTTGGCACCCCTGCCTCTGAAACCTTGCTGCTACAAAGGCAAGAGTATCAACATATTGCTCTGACTAGACGACAGCACACAAACAGAAGACATCTCATTGAAAGATTACTGGCCATTGCTGGGCTGTACAGCTATTTGTGTATACCAAAAGCTTTTCATCCTGGCTCCAAATGGCAAGTTTACTCAATTTAAAACTGACAAAAATGGCAGGTTCTCTTCCCACCCCCCACCCTTACCCCCAAAATTACAGATTTCAGATTATCAGTGCTCCAATTCAGATTTGAATTGCTGATCGCCTGCAAACCCCAATTGAGTGCTCTTATACAGAGAGGAAAATCTGCAAATTCTGTATAAGATGGAAAACAGACACTCCTTGCCCTAGCCAGTGCCAGGAAGTCTAAGGGCAGCAAGCAAGACTGAACATCTCAGTAGCAATGGACAAAGAATGATCCTACCACAAAAAAGGATCTACTCATGTTCCTTGGTGAGCTAGCATCAAGTCAGTACATTTCACACCCATATTGCAAAACATTTTGAGGCTGGTTTTCAACACAAAGCACATCAAGCGTATCTCAATATATAAATACTGTTTCAACAGGAACTGATAGAAGGGACATAATTCCTCTTTATAGAAAAAATTAACTTCAGTTGTGGCAAAATAGAGGAAGGGGGGAAAAGTTTCTCTTACCTGCAGCTGAAGAAGCATGTACTGCCAAGAGACTACTCCAGGAGCCTTGAAAACAGTGCGCATGGCATTGGTGGCCAAGAAGCTGATCTGCCATTGAAACAGAGGAGAGGGTATTAAAAAAAAACCAACAAAAAGCCAGCAATCTCAACCCCATGAATACCCCTTGAAAGATTCAACTGGGGTCCCCAGTGTGGGGTCCGTAAGTGCTGTGGGCAGGGCCAGGTGGGGCTTTTGCCCAGCAGGGCTTCTGATTAGCCATTGGGGAATCTGATCTGCTGTGCAGGTTATTTTTTTTAATGCTGCTTTGGAAGCAGCTGCTACCACAGCACAAGAGTCTTCACTGTGTCACTGAAGGTGAGCTGGGTGTTCATTGATCAAGGCGTACTGCCAAGCAGAGCTTCTGCATGGCCTCATTCCCTGACGTTTTGTGGTTGGCTCTGCCTCCTGCAGCAGCCATTCTGGGACTGCACCCACCACCCTATGTCAGAATTCCAAAAATGCCCACAGACTCAAAAAGGGTGGAGACCCTTGGATTAAAGATACGCCATCAGGTTATTACTACATTACAGCCTCACTAACTAAAACCAACATATGGTTCACTGCCCAACATTTAACAGGGTTGAACAGGTTCCCAAGTCTTCAGAAATGGAGCAAATTAAAAATCTAAACCACGTCTCCTGTAATGATGCAAGCTGAGAATGGACAGGAATGCATGACACTAGTGGATTCTATTCTACTTCAGTTTACAGCAGTTATATAAAGAGACAATCCTAAACCTGAAGATGCAGTCCTTACCTTGACCACCTTGGCTAGTGGCAGTGGATGTTCCCTCTCCTCTGTAAATGTGCTCCAGTTCGCTCCTGCACACACAAACTTTTCCCCATATTGTACAACTAAATGAGCAAGCACTAAAGATCTTCACTCTTCTATTCCAAAATGATCAATAGTTAACATTTTTAAGAATCCGTAAATCAATTTGGGTGTCCCTGGCACCTGACTAGGGGCAAGACTGATCACAGTTCATCCACAGAACTTAGAACTTACCAGCACAACAGGAACAGCATACTTGAGCATCACTGACTGTACCGTGAACCTCTCATTATCCAGAGCAGTCACAGGACGGGACAAAGCCATGTCCAAACACAACCTGAAATAGGCAACGACTGTATAGGTCTCCAGAGTAATCAATACAACAGTAAAGGAACCCCCACACTTAGGGGCTCTTCCTTAGTCCAAACAGTCCCCTTTCATTCCTTAAAAAGATGTGTTCTATTCTGATTTGTTTTGTATCTGATGGTATGGAGTTTAAGCATTACAAAATAGGTTTTGTTTCACTCCTGAGAAAATTAACAGTTACTCAAGACGCAAAACACATCTTGCAGACTTTGGAGGTCTAAAAGCTCTCTTACTCACATATGCCAACTTAACCAAATGGTCTTATATATTAGTAACCCAATTAAAATGGGAAGATGGAAGAAATCATTTTAAAACAGGATTTACCAAGCTCTGACGCTGTTTCAGATACTTTCTACTCTTGCATTGCATTTCTCAATTTTATACACACAAGATGTATGGCGGAGGCAAATCACTACCTCATTACACTCTGCAACAGGAACGGCCCATTCCATTCCAATAGTCTGCAAGCAGCGGACAGCAAAGAGCATGTGGCAGACATTTTATGGCTATAAGGCCTTCCTTAGCGTCAAGTGGTGGCTCAAGTGGTTAAGACGCTGAACTGCAGGCTGTGGAAGGTCAGTAGTTCAGCAGTTCGAGACCCAGGTTGCCGTATGACGGAGTGAGCTCCCGTCTCTAGTTCCAGCTCCTGCCAACCTAGCCGTTCGAAACCAAGAAATTGCAAGTAGATATAAATAGGTACCACTTCGGTGGGAAGGTAACAGAGTTCCGTGCACCTTGGTGTTTAGTCATGCTGGCCACATGACCACGGAAATGTCTTCGGACAGCGCTGGCTCTTCGGCTTTGAAACGGAGATGAGCACCACAACCCTAGAGTCGGACTCGACTGGCTTTCGAGCAAGGGGACCTTTACCTTTACTTAGCGTCAAGTAGACTGCGGAATCATCAGTTCCCTTATACAGTCTTCTACAAATCTTTCACAAATCCTGGTAAAATGATGGCCTGGAGCAGGGGGCGACAGGGAGCTTACCTGACATTATCAATGACAGGAGTCTTTGTGACACGAAACAGTCGATACGTCTGGGGATTATGAGGGCCCTTCTTCACCTCTCCACTTGGTGACGGTGGAGGAGAAAAGGGGGGGAACAGATCCCCCGACTCCAGAACTATGTGCTCATCATCCTGTTAGAAAAATAGAAATACTTCCCATTATTCAAACTTCCTTTAGTTCATTCATTATCGATCCTATTGTATTCACCTGCAGGAAACAGTTACTACTGTCCCTTGACTGGGCTGACCTTTAATTTAGTATAAATGGAATAGAAACAGAAGAATGTCATTATGTCGAGGAGTTTTGGAAATTTCCACCAGGGCGTTAATTGCATTGTAGTCCATGGTCATGTCTGCGTTGCAAGCTTAAAACCAGCTTAGTGGTCAGAATTCCCTCTCCGAAAGAACCCAGGGAAAATCTTCGCGGTTCTTGCATGTCTGTATCAGTTTTATTCAGCTGAATTATTAGCACCTCAAAGTTAACCAGTGTGTTGTGAGACAAACTCTAGTAAGCCAGAGCCTTCTCAGTTGGCCCTTGATTGGTATATACACAGAGGCACAAACAGAAGGAGTGGGTAGTATTAATTTGTAAGGAGAGTGGAAGACCCAGAATTCCATCACAGGTGTGTTAGATGAGATTAAAGAGCATGGATGACTCTTAACCAGATCTTGTGTTCAACAGTCCAGAGTGTGGGTAGACTACTCCCACATGCAGATGAATGGGCAAACCAAAATGAATAGAGGCACAATTCTTTTCTGTATTGTGTTGGCTTCTCCAAGGGCCTAACTACATTGGGTCCAGCCAACAAACAAGGCCTGGAAGTTCTGCTCTAGGAACTCAGTTCCCAAATGCATGGGGGTCCAATGTGGATCAGGATGACACTGCCTGTGGACAGCCTTTCCCCCTTCTGTGCTGGACAAATGGAAGGAGGGCAGAGGAGTTATTACAACAGGTGGACAGAAGACTTAGCATTTCAAGACACAGATGTGTTACATTACACTGCAGACGAAAACAAGATCAAAAGAGTGAACTACAGCTGTCCTCCCCCCACCAGAAGCAAATACTTACTAGGAACAACCCAGAGACAAAAACCCAGAGTCTAGCCACTGCAACAAACCTTGATACCAGCTTCGTTCCCATATCTGTTCAAGTGATACTATCAGAGGACCAGTCATACTATTAGGAGCTCATTCAACTGTACATGTTCTAATGAAATGTACCTTTCTGTACATACCAACTGAGAGCCAACTGACTAGGCTCTGGCTCACTAGAGTTTGTCCCACAACACACTGGTTAACTTTAAGGTGCTAATCATTCAGCTGAATATGACTGATACAGATAAGCTAGATCCTCAAAAAATTACAAGGAACCCTGGATTCTTTGGGAAAGGGAAACCATTAAGCTGGTTTTAAGCCTGCCATGCCATTAACCCCCTGGTACAAATTTCCAAAATTTCCTAATGCACTAAAAGTCTTCTTTTTCAGATCCTTTTACACTAAATTAAAGGTCATCTTAGTCAAGGGACAGTAGAAACTATTTCCTCCAAGTGAATACAATATGGCCTCCAATATACTCAGGAGACTAGAAGAAGTCTAAAAAAATGGAAGAATTACAATGATCAATACTACCTAAAGAGCACCATTTCAGGTAACAAGAATTTTTTGGTAACCCTAGTCGGAACTATCTTCAGGACTGAATTTGGTATGTGGAATCCTCAGCAGAATTATTCTTTTCTACATCTATGTACTTCAAATGGATGCAGGAGGGCTTGTTTCGGATTGCAGTGTAAACCACCCCTTGGAATTTCACTCCATGGCACACATTGAGGCTATTCAAATACTGTGCATTTCCTGCAGTTGTACATATCGCATTCCTCTCATGTGGCCTTGATCTGTATCAGATGAGACACTGTAGTTTTGAAAAATCTGTTTTCATGTTGAATAGAAATTTCTCCCTGGGATCCAGTGCTCCAGGAATACCCTGTGCTACATCATTTACAAAGCTAAGAAGGTGCAGACCTAGATTTTCATGTAACGGCAGAATACAGGTGTAATAAATAAACTCAACCCACCCCCCAGGTGCTTCTAGTTCCCGAGTTTTGCAAAAGGGACAGGTTTTTTCTGTACTCTGTACTTCCTCTTTTCTCTGGGAAGCACCCAGAGCCCCAAGCCCTCATACTTCATAACCCTTCCATCCACCCTACATTACCAAGTAGCCTCACACAGAAAGATGAGTTACCTTTATCCCTCTGAGAGAAGTGAAAGACTCTTGCCCTGGCCTCAGGGCAACAACATCGCCCTCTACCAACAAGCTGACAGGAAGATTGACAAGATGGCCATCCCTGTAGGCCCAATGGAGTGACCATGATGGGGCAAAGGGCATGTGCAGGTCAGGGTACATGGAGTTTGCCCACTTCAGCTCTTTGCCATCATTCAAAGCATCTGAAAAGCAGATTTAACAAGAATGTGAATGACAACTGCAGAGACAGGGTTCTAATGAGAAACAACATTCCACTGTGGCAGAAATCTATCCTTATCTCACCACTAGGGAGGGGCATGAACCATATTTTTGCAGTTGCGTTGGGCTTGTGGCTCGGGGCTGAACCACGAACCCATACAAACTGGGAGACTGGTTCGTGAACTGAACTGGTTCATATAGGTTTGTGAGCCATTTAAAGTTTAGACCCCTGCTTTCTGCTCTCCACGGCTTTTCGCAGAGAGCAGAAAGCAAGAGTATAAGTTGCTCCGCACCATTTAAACCAAACAGCTGAACAGCGAGGAGCAATTTAAACCCCTGCTTTCTGTTCCTCGCAAAAAACTGTGGAGAACAGAAAGCAGGGGACCTTTTAAACCAAACAGCTGAGCAGCAGGGAGCTCCCAACCACTCAGCTGTTTGGTTTATACGTCTGGGAGCCAAATCCACTGCTTTCTGCTTGCCGCTGCAATTGTTCTTCATGAAGAGCAAAAAGCATCTGCTCTTCACAAACCACCACAAATTGCATCAAAATTCATGAAAGTTCAGTGCAGTTCTTCAGTTTGCAAACATTGTTTTGTGAACCCAAACCAGCCAAAATCCATGACAATCTTCAGTTCATTAGTCAGTTTGTGCCCATCCCTACTCACCACCCCCAGTCCTTGTAGACAAGGCAGATGCACACAGGTGTGCAGGATCATAAAAGCGGCCTGAGGAGGCAGCAGCCTCACCAGTTATTCTGTTGATTATGTTCCGGAGTCTCCTTTCAACTTCCCGGCACTTCAGTCTTTCTTGCCGTACAATGAGGAAGAGATCGAGCAGCAGGAGGAGGAAGAGTGCCAAGGCATTAACGATTTCAGAACCTTCACTGTTCAAAAGCAAACCATACAAAATAATGGAATTAAATACACACTCGCTGAGATCTGTGGCTGCCTTGACTGCCTCCATGGATTAATGCTCAGACAGAGGTCAGCAGAAAGGCAGCCTCTGCCTTTAGAGCAGAAACAAAAAACCACCTAGGCTGGTCTGCATAATTATATTAATTTAAATCATCCATTTATAGTGGCAAGAGGAGTGTGACTACCCTGGAAACAGGCCTGAATCCAGCTCTCTTGGGTCCCCGGAAGTTTGGAATGCCTGAAGGGAAGGTTTAGTAAAAGATACAACAGACAAAAAGAGAATAAGCATTGAAGAGGAATACAAAATGCCAGGGAAACACCACAATTATGAAAATACAAATTATTATTATACCATCAAAGACAATTGTTTATCACTATTATGGAAGAAACATCAATCTCAATACAATCCAATAATGTTGGGTATTACAAGTTGAAAACACTCAGTATATCTGGGGTTAAATGTTTGTTTATGTTACAAACCAATGTTCTTTAGCTGTAGAATACCCGGAAATTTTCTCCCTGATCTAGGAATTTGATTGGGACTAAAGTGTCAAGGTGTATTAGCATTTTATGGCTCTCTTCCCGTCTTTGTTTGGTGTTCTGAAGAAGAAGAAGAGTAGCCATAATCTCTCTCTTCTAGTTTTGTCTTTGTAGATTAAGGATGTAGCAGATTTTGCTCTGTTGTTATTTTCATCCCAGTTACCCTTCCCATGCTAGAATTTAGTAAAAACTTTATATTTTAATCACACATGGACTCTGAGTCTGAATTATTTTACTCCGGCACTGGTGGACCATCTTATCTCTGCTAAATACCATTTTTTCAATATCTTACTATCACCCAACAAATAATCAAGGTGCACTATATAAAGTAAGGTAACGAAGATTCTGGATTTTCCTTCATTTCGTGGGTAGACTTCCTCAGAAGTACATTTTCTTAACTAAAAATAATAAATATTTCATTTTATATAATTTTTAAAAGATGTATCATAGGCCAAACCCAATATTGTAATTAATTATACAATAATAAAATTGTACCGTTGCACAAATGTGTTATCCTATTCTTCCATTAACAGGTATAACAATCCTACATATCTGAAATAACAATAAATACCAATAAATACAATACATTCATAAATTGTACTTTTTAATAATTTTTCTACATATTATACACACTAAACTTACAATCTGCAACTCACCATGACATTTTATAATACAGAAATCATTTCTTCAATGCATTAACAATGAGCACTAGTCATCATTGTGAACGCTTTCCAATGCTAGAATGCCTCAAAGATACAATAGTAACATGTTCATTATACAGGACACAGAGCTTTCCCCGTTAAAGTACTTAAAGATAAAGTCACATATTACAGAAAACAAGAACAATCTATTATTCAAACCATGAGGATAAATAGTTTTCAGTCGATGTATCCCGAAAGCCTCTCGTCTAAGAAGCATTTTTTAATGTTTAATTATATAAAATGAAATATTTATTATTTTTTAGTTAAGAACATTTACTTCTGAGGAAGTCTACCCATGAAACGAAGGAAAATCCAGAATCTTCATTACCTTATTGCACCTTGATTATTGGATTGTATTGACATTCATAAATTGTACTTTTTAATAATTTTTCTACATATTATACACACTAAACTTACAATCTGCAACTCACCATGACATTTTATAATACAGAAATCATTTCTTCAATGCATTAACAATGAGCACTAGTCATCATTGTGAACGCTTTCCAATGCTAGAATGCCTCAAAGATACAATAGTAACATGTTCATTATACAGGACACAGAGCTTTCCCCGTTAAAGTACTTAAAGATAAAGTCACATATTACAGAAAACAAGAACAATCTATTATTCAAACCATGAGGATAAATAGTTTTCAGTCGATGTATCCCGAAAGCCTCTCGTCTAAGAAGCATTTTTTAATGTTTAATTATATAAAATGAAATATTTATTATTTTTTAGTTAAGAACATTTACTTCTGAGGAAGTCTACCCATGAAACGAAGGAAAATCCAGAATCTTCATTACCTTATTGCACCTTGATTATTGGATTGTATTGAGATTGATGTTTCTTCCATAATAGAGATAAACAATTGTCTTTGATGGTATAATAATAATTTGTATTTTCATAATTGTGGCGTTTCCCTGACGTTTTGTATTTCTCTTCAATGGGAAGGTTTAGTAAGCCATAACAGATAAAACAGATTAGAACAGATAAAAGGAAGTACTTCTTCACCCAAAGAGTGATTAACACATGGAATTCACTGCCACGGGAGGTGGTGGCGGCTACAAGCATGGACAGCTTCAAGTGGTTATTAGCCACAAGATATAGATAGGAACTCTCAGGCCGGGGCAAGTGATGCTCTGTCTTCTTGGTGCTTGGGAGGGGCAACAGTGGGAGGGCTTCTAGTGTCCTGGCCCCACTGCTGGACCTCCTAATGGTACCTGGTATTTTTGGTCACTGTGTGACAGAGTGTTGGACTAGATGGGCCACTGGCCTGATCCAACATTGGCTTCTCTTATGTTATGCCATTTCAATGGTAATCATAACGGCAGCTTCACAACTTGGGTGCAAAAGGTCCATGATCTCAAACAGCCCACAGATATGTGAGTATGTTTAACTCTCCTTGTTTGTTTCACTGAAAAAAAACATCCCCCAGAATATGCATCTTGCTCATGAAAGGAGCTTTGCCACCTTCTACAGAATTCTGACCCCTTCACCACCACGACTAATTTTTTTCCAGTGGGGGATTATGTTATAAGAGCAATGGAACAGGATGGTATATGGTAGACTCATTCTCATTAGCACATCTTCCTTTAGGGGAGCACTCAGCACAGCAAAAATAACACAATCCTCTCAAAGGACTCTGGTACAGCCTATCGCTTCTTGTAAAAACTGACAACCATGGGATTATTATTTTTTTCAAATACAGACAACACAACACTATGGATATGGGTTTTTAAAAAGAACCCAAACTTTTAAGAAGCTTCAAACTTCAAATCTCTGACTTCCCAAACTGGTGAAATTTCATCCATTTCCTAAATAAATATACCTGTTTCAGTTGTTTGAGGGTGCTATTTTTGGAGTTCATTGGACCTAAGCTTATGCAATGTGGTCATCAATTGTTGTTCAACTTCCAGTACAATCCTACTGACAGTATGTAAAACACATACTCAGCTGTGTCTAAATATGCAGACCCCCTCCATCCCTTGGTTTATGATGACATAATCCCAGTGGCATCATTCCTTACAGCAGGGTTAGTGTTGCTAGACAGGGCACTATGCCTTCACTACTTGTGTCATGGTATGGAATTCCTCGGACAAAACTTCCCATCTTATTTGCTGCACCAATGAGAGAAACCAGGACTGCCAAATCTCTTACTAAGTCACTATTTGAAGGCACATGAACACATTACTAGGACAGACACTGGCAGCCCTTCCCATGTGTGTTTGACTCTGATATTTGATCCTGATATGGAAGGCAAATTAACACATTTTCCATGGGAGTCCTTCCCCCAAAAACTTGAGATTGGAAGACAAGGCCCAGACATGAAGGCTAGCAAACAGGAACTGAATGCAAGATCACAATGAGACCTGGTAGCCACACACTCCTCTGACCCTGCCAATGGGCAGCTTACCTTCCCTCTGGCTGACTTTCATAACAGCATAAAAGCAGCAGCACTGTCAGCAGCATCAGGGATGCCCCTGGCCAATGGAAACAGGAGCAACGGTTTCCATGGTACAGAAAACTGGCCTTCCATACCACCTACAAGAGAAGCAGAAAGAAAGAGACCAGATCAACTCACCTGAACCTTGGATTTTTTGAAGTTCACTACAAAAATAGTGCTGAACACTAGAAAATTAAGTTTGGCTAAGGAACAAATCAGCTACAATTGCACCAAGGGTCTTTTGAGATGGCCTCCTCACACCATGAAGGACCATCACAGGATGGTGGCTGCTGGAATCACCACTGCTGCCTTACAGTATGGCTTCAAGCACTAACTCTAGATCCCTAGCATTGTGGTGGACTGCCAAAAGCTAGCCCATTTACACTACAGACAGGATGGGATAGGGGAAAAGGCCCAAGTTGTTACACCAAGGCATGCAGCAATCTGGCAGCACTCAGCCATCTTCCTTTCACCTGTCCAGGTACTGCTGCTAGTTGTCATGCTCAGGCCTGATTTGCTTCCCAGCCTGTTTCAGTTTGGTACACAGGGGTTAACAGCACTCTTAACATGTTTAATTGGAAGATGTGCCATCCAGGTGCTCCATGTTAAGAGAAAATCCTTAATGGTCATCTGAAGCAACTTGATTGTGTGTGTGTGTGTGTGTGTGTGTGTGTGTGTGTGTGTGTGTGTGTGAGAGAGAGAGAGAGGGGGGGGGGGAGGACGTGGGGAAAGCATTTTGCAGAGGGGAGTTAATTTGTTGAATAGCCATGTGAAGTCATTAAGTCATTCTGTGTTCCTTGCTTTGCTAAAGCATGCTTCTTTGCAGGCTGTTTGTTCCAGTTTTCTGTCAACTTTGACTAAATGGAAGAATGTAATACCTTTATAAGACTTATTTTTATTGTTATACCTGTAAGATGAGCCTCTTCCTGTAATTAGGAAGAAGTACAGTTTAGGCTGTTTAGATGTTTTTATTTTCTGTGTGCCTTGGAAACTTGAACCTGTATTGATACTTAAATTGTTTACTGTTTCATTTTTTTAAATAAATTTTCTTCTTTTAAGAAGGCAGTAGGTATTTGGTGTGTACCCTGGATCCTGAAAAAGAACTCACAGTACTGCTCTGGAGTTGCTGATGTTCTGTGAGGGATAGGGCTGCCAAGCCGCGGCGGGGGATCCGCACGTCTTCACAGGATCCCTGCCGCGGGGGACAGCGATACGCGTTGCACCACCGTCGCCAGGATGTGACGCTATGTGTCGCTCTGGCAACGGGACTCCAAACAGCCCCGTTGCCAGAGCGACGCATAGCGTCACATCCTGGCGACGGCGGTGCAACGCGTATCGCTGTCCCCCACGGCAGGGATCCTGTGAAGATGTGCGGATCCCCCGCCACGGCTTGGCACCCCTAGTGAGGGAGCAAGGTTTTACTCACAGCATATTCCTGCAAGCCTCTTGTCCCTGGTTTGGGTAGAGGGTCTTAAAGGGGTGTGCATCATACCAGTCCACCTCAACTGCAGGAATACTAGAGACACAAACACCTACACTTGTGGTAGAGAAGTATCTAAGTGCCATCTTAAAAGTTTCAGTTTCTCCAGTGGTCTACAACACTATACCTTTGTTCAAAACTTGCATCTTTTACTTCCAAAGAAATTGTATGTTCTTGAAGCAAATAACAAAAATGCACAGAATAGTACCCAGGGATGGTCACACTTACCTTCCATGAAATCACCTTCTTTCTTTCCTTCTGATGCCCCTCCAGCAGTGCAGAAAGCTGGTCTCTCAGGATAGTCAGGGCCTTTGTTGTGCTGAGACCCAGATTTACAGTTATCTCATCCTGAACAAGAAGAAACAGCAAATGCAGTCTTTCCCTGAGATCTTCCCTAACAATTTCAGAGTTAACCTCCAGTAACCTTAAACCAGTGCCCAGAACAACCCCTTGTCATTCAATAAAAACAAGATACAATACTAGCACAGGCTCAGGGCTCTCCTCTCTTTGAGGTATTCTTATTTATTTTTCAGGTGGAAGTAGGGTTCCCAAATTCCCTCGGGGGGTGGATTTCCCCCCACTTTTGAGGCCCGATTTCCGCCCCTGCGGAATCGGGCCCGGGGGAAAACCCACCCCCGCGCGCCGCCCGGATGTGACGTACAGACACCGGGCACGCTGGGGGCGGGGCCACAGCCATTTGAGAGGAAAACTCTATGTTTTCCCCTCAAATGGCTGTGGCCCTGCCCCCAGCGTGCCCGGCGTCTGTACGTCACATCCGGGCGGCGCATGCGCGGGTGTGGGGTTTCCCCCAGGCCTGATTCCGCGGGGGCGGAAATCGGGCCTCAAAAGCGGGGGGAAATCCGCCCCCCGGGGGGATTTGGGAACCCTAGTTATCCCCTTATAAAGCAATATATGCTTGTGGCCATCCCTACATCCACTCCCAGTGAGTTCCACATTTTAATTATTCGTGGAGTAAAGAAACACTTCCTTTGGCCCATTCTAAATCTGTTTCCCATCTACTTCACTGGTTGTCCCTGAGTTCTAGTATTGTGGAAGAAGGAGACAAAGTTCTCTCTATATATTCTCCAGTCCATGTGTACTTTCATGAACCTCTGCCATGTTCCCCTTAGTTGCCTTTTGTCTAAACTGAAAAGTACCCTCACAGGAAAGGTGCTCCAGCCCCTTACTCATCTTGGTTGTTCTCTTCTGCACCTTTTCCAGCTCTGCTCCTACATTTTTTCCACTTTCTTGTCCTCTAACTGGAGAGGGGCTCCTTAGACAGAAAAAAACCCTATTAAGAACAGTCTCATCTCAGGGATAGTACTTCACTCTT